CAAATACCATATGATTTCACTTACATGTGGAATTTAAAGAGCCAAATGAACGAACAAAATAGAAACAGACTCATAGATACAGAAAACAGACTGATGGTTACCAGAGGGAAGGGGGGTTGGGGGGTTGGGTGAAACAGGTGAAGGGATTGAGAAGTACAGATGGGTAGTTACAAAATAGTCACGGGGATGTAAAGTACAGCATAGGGAACATAGTCAATAATATTGCGATAACTATGTACGGGGCCATAGTACTTGAAGTACTTGAAGTATCGGGGGACCACTTTGTAAAGTATGACTGTCTAACCGCTATGTAGTACACCTGAAACTAACAGAGAATAACATTAAATGTCAACTGTGGTTGAAAAATTTTAAAAGGAGGGGGACTACACCAGGCCTGAGGTAATGAGAGTTTGAATTTGGTGGTGGGCTATGGGAAGTGAGCAGTGGAAAGAAAGGGACAGATAAAGGACCTGACCTTGGCCCCTTTTCTGTGGATGCCCCATCATACCTTTCTCCCCTCTCCTTCCTCTTCCTTCCTTTGTCCTTGTTTAAAAAATATTATGTACCTTATTTCATGACCAGTCTTATTCATTTAGGTTTCTTTCAGAACCTTGCATAGTGGCCTACACTTAGCAGGTGCTTGATAACTATTTGTTGAATTGCAATTGGTAACTGATTAGAAGTGGGACAGGGGCCAAAAATAACCAAGGGTTCAAGCCTGGGTGATAGGAGAAAAGAGGATGCCAGGAGAAGCTGATCAGGTTCAAAGTCAGGTTGAATTTGAGCTCCTGGCAGATTATCTAGCTGACTTGAAATCTTGGGATATAGGTAGAAGAGAGGGGACTTTAAAAAAAACCCAGTTTTTAAAATTGATTTTAGAGAGGAAGCGAGAGATATAAACATCAATGATGAGAGAGATTCATTGATTGGCTGCTCCCTGCACACCCCACACTGGGGATGGAGCCTGCAACCCCGGCACGTGCTCTGAGTGGGAATCGAACTGGGACCTTCTGGTTTATAGATTGATGCTCAACCACTGAGCCACACTGGCAGGCCAGGCGAGAGAGGGCATTTAAGGTGCATCCCCACCTTCACCTCCACTCAAGCTGGGAAGATAGTGGCTATGTTTAAGGGTCAAATTTTGGTCTGGGATCATATTCTGGTCTGCCACTAGCCAAGTACCAAGTTAGTTAGTCTCTCTGAGACTCACCTATGAAAGTGAGATAAAGTAGTACTCTATAAGGTGGTTGTCAAGGCCAAAGGTGAGGTAAAATGTATTAATACACCACCTGGGATAAGTGATAGCTCTAGTTATTGGTTATTATTACTATTATTAAGGTTAGGGGAAGGAGCATAAATCATGTCACTCCTGAGTAAGGCAATCCATGGCTTCCTATTGCATGTTGAATGAAAGGCAGCCTCTTGCCCTGGGCCCCACAGGCCTGAGTTATCAAGCCCCTGCCCACCTCTCATCCAGCACCCCCTCATCCACACCCTGTGTTCTGCCTGGTTGTCCCCTAAAAATGGCAAAATGCTTTGCTTGCTGCCTCAGGACGTTTGCATTCGCTCTTTACTTTGCTTGAAAGGTTCTTTGTATGGCTGGCTTTTGGGGGGGGGGGATGGGTATGTATATACTGTACAATCATTCAGATGAAACCTAAGTGATCTTAAGTCTCTCATTGTCCCCTCTAAGCCTGACTTTGCCCATCAGAACAATGAGACTGGATTAGATCATCACTAAGGTTTTCTCTGTAACACTTTGTGAACTTAAGGTGGTAGAGTGTGGCTTTAGAATTCAGTCGTGGGCAAACTACAGCCGGATCTGGCCCGTTTGAAATGAACAAAATTAAAAAAAAAAGACCGTACCCTTTTATGTAATGATGTTTACTTTGAATTTATATTAGTTCACACAAACACTCCATCCATGCTTTTGTTCCGGCCCTCCGGTCCAGTTTCAGAACCCATTGTGGCCCTCGAGTCAAAAAGTTTGCCCACCCCTGCTTTAGATTATTAGACTATACCAAGAATCAGGTCTTCAATTTGCCCTGCAGTCAGAAAGGCCCTAATGGTTCTCCTGGAACAGAAGCTGGGGATGCAGTTTCTAAGACCTCGAAAGGCAGTCACTGAGGCTGCTCTGCCACATTGCCTGCTGCTGTGTAAAAAACTGCTGGGTGTCAGTCTCCATCCACTGGGGGAATCCCCCCCCACCAAAAAAAAAAACACAAAAACTCCACCTTCTTCTGCCAAGGCTTTGGGTGGAGCTAGAAACACTGTTCGTGACAACACTGAGTCAGCACATTCATGAGGGTCAAGCTCACAGTGAAAAGGAACTGGAAGAGGGCGCTGGTTGAGAAGAAACCTCCAGCTGAGGCCTCTTCAGTCTCAAAGGAAATGGAATCAGAATGTGCAAGTTCATTATGCAGATAGCAGGGGAATAAGGTATAATGCTCAAGGTAGGGGTTTCCTCCTAAAATGCTAGAGCTCATATTAGAGTCTCTCCCAAGTATTGAATTATGGACTTCATCACCCCAAGAGATAAAGCTCAAAACTGGTTTTCAAAAGTTTCAAAATGAATTATGTGAAAACAGGCTCTTTTGGAGATATGTAGACACTATTGAGGCTATGTCGGCAAGGACAGCTGGGTTCTCACAAAATGTGTACGTTGGGATTTGTCAGATTTCTGGGCCAGGAGTTCTCATGGACCTGACCTGATGTGACACTTATGTGCATTAAGTATCAACATTCCTTCTCTGAGCAGGATTACTTTGTTGCCTGAATCCCCAGGGTTAAAATAAGGATCCTTGGCTGGCCTCTGAAAGCACTGACTTCTTTATTAGCCTCCGAAAACATGCAGCTGCTTCTCCTGCCCAAGGGCAAATATACTGAGAACTCTTGATATTTCCCTGTAAGACAGGAAATGACAGTACAGGCATAGCTGTGGGGACTGCAACAGTCAGCTGGGACCCAGGGACATAAGGCTCCCTCCTCAGTTCTTCCTCACCAAGATCACACTTAAGATTTTTCACACAACATATATTTATTCAGAAAAAAATTTGCAATAAATTATAATAAAAAAAGATGACACAAAATACAGAATCCCACTAGCAGCTTTGCTTAGTGACCAAAACATGTTTGAGAAATGTAACAAACAATTACAGAATAAGAATCAGAAAACAGTGAAAGGGAGACTAATGCAACATTACCACATGAGTTTGAACTGTTTCTTCCCTAAAACCAAAGATGCAGTCATTCCCTAACAGTTAGATCTGAACTCCTTACTTCAGAGGTGTTAGTCACTAATACATTGGAGGTACTTAGGAATCAGAGGTTGGGGTGCTAGAGGCACTGTAGGGAGGCAGATATCTTATGCCTGCTCTATTTCTTGTCTCCTCTACCTAGAGATTGTCTAAAACTCTCAACCATGCGTACATCTCAGGACCAGAGCTGGAAAAAGGTTGAGGCAATGAACTAAGTGCATTTGCCTTATGAGGAAAGAGCTAGGATGCTGCACACAGTTCCCAGGACAGGCACTGCCCTATCTTTGTGTTATGACCTTGCCCAGCTTCTATAATATGCCTCACCTGTGATCGCTTTCTGGCCTAGTAGAGATGACAAAAGCGTTCTGTTCACCATCTTCCATTGACTACATCAACACCCAGCCTTTAATCTATCAGATCTGTAGATATTTGGCACCAATAATTTGATTCCTAGTACCGTAAGTCCCAGACAGGAAAGGGTTTAACCAGTCTATCACAAGATATGTATGTTTTCTTTCCCCAAAAACCTCAAGTTATAAGAGATGGTGGAACTGGAGAACCATTCAGTTGTGCTGTTTCTCTTGGCTCTCTCCTTTGATGTGCCAGAGTTAAGAGTCAACGCTTAACACTGGGCACAATGCCTGTCCATTAGGCTCCTTGAATTTAATAGTAACAGGCAAGAGTAAGTTGACTCAGGGTGGTTTTAATGAAAGAAAACAAGAGGAAGCCAATTGTATCAGGTAATTTTGCAGTCAGTAGCTGGTTTGCCAACCGACATAGATTAATTTTTTTAAAGGCTGCCCTACAGAGCTTGAGTAAATGAAGAGTGCAGAGGGTTGTCTTGAGTGGCAGAGAAAGGTGCTTAGCTGGCCCCACTGCACAATCTATCTTAAACAGCACTGGACAAAGTGGCTGGGAGCCAAAGGGAGCTGGCTGTACAGTCCAGTCAGCCTTGATGAGGGAAGAGGTGACACTGGCCCCTTGTACGTCAGGAGACTAGTGAAGGGGTTCCCAGAATGATCCTCAATCCTCAGTACTCTTGCTGGGGGAAAGGAGAAATATCTCTAGAAAGGCCTGCTTGAGGTGCAGACTAGCTTTTTTAATGTGGTGTAAGTGTTTCTAAGTGGGGGATGGGTCCCATAGTTCTCATGTAAAATTTGAAAAAGAGAAGGGACGGTAGAAAGCAGGACCTGTCAAACATGAATGTTTTCACTTGTGAATACTCAAAGTGCTTCTACTCTGATTCTCTCACATCAATGGAATGTTATTTCTAATAGTCCTAAAGTTCTGCTATAAAATGAGGTCTGAGACAAGAGAATATGGTTCCACCCAGTGCAGATCCATGAAAAGGCCAATGTTACAGAGACATATGGATACCACTGTAGTAGAAATGCACAAATGCATGTAACAAAAACACGTAGAACGTTAACTCACTGTTGGGGACACCCAAGGAGTCACTAGCCTCACTCTGACTTCCTCCAATGTGATAGCACTAGTAGAGTGCAAAGAGGCGAAGTGGGGATGGTAGGGCAAAAGTGCTTTAGAGGAAGGACTACACACAAGTCTGAGCTACACCAAGTAGTGCTTGTAGGCCTAGAACAGGAACATCACAGAATCTAGGCCTAGGGTGCTAAGGACAATCATGACAGCTGGGCAGGGGGCAACAAACACATCCCCAGGTAAAGGTGTGTAAATACAGAACTCTTTGTCTTATAAAGAGAGAACACAAAAACACCAAAATATGGTAACTTTGGCTTGGCAATATAAGTCTAATAGTACTTTACTGTGTAGGATATGGCAAGGGAGGGATTAGGAAACTTCCTTTTTCATGCCTCAAAATTCTGCAATAGACCCTTCCTGTGACATGACTTTGCAAATCACTCTGAAATACTTGGTGTCCAAGATCTTCCACCTCTAGAATCTTGGAGTGTAGTTAAGAGAAAGGGCTTACTGGTCTTCATCGCCCCCCAGCAGGAAACCCAAAAGGAACTGGATAGCACGCTGGCGGTCACTTGCAGTCTGTCTTGCCAACAAGTTAGGTGGAGGTCTTAGGAGAAGACTTGTGAAGAGAGTAGCTAGAGGGCACAAGAAAGAAAAGGGAAAAAACCCTGTCAGACACAACCTAAGCAAAGCCTCAGTGATCGGGGTGGGGGTCAGGGGATGGGGGCAGTGGGAAGGAAGTGACTGTCCTGTGCCTGGACATTAAGGACATTCTGACCAACACCCACTGTGGCCATTCTTATTAGGTAGTCTTACCGATCATGTTGGCACTGACATTGTTGTATTCAGAGAATTTTAAGAGTTCTCGAAGGAATGCCATCAAGTAACGGAAAACATTTCTATGGCATCTTGGAAGCTGGGAAATCACCTGTTTTTTAAAAAGGGGGTAGGTAGTGAGGAGAACAGTTGGAAGAAGGGAGTAAGAAGAGCCCATGGCTGCAATAAAAATAGTTTGTAATCCAACCTTTACAGGACCCCATTCATCTGTCACAACCCTCCTTGATTTACTCATGACCAACACAGTACCTGCCCAATAATAATTTCCAAGTCAGAATGGTCATACTATTTGGCCCCTGTCCACTCAATGACCAGGCCATGCCATCATCACACATTCACATGCACACCTCACATCACAAGCAGGTCAGTGTTAATCTGGTCTTTTATCATTTCCTCATGATGGGAAAATGTCAGGTACCCATGGCATCTGTCAAGCTGAATAGTTTTCTCAGCAATGTCATTTAGCATGGATGGGAACTCCTCCCAACACTCACTAATCTGATTCAGAGGTATTCTCAGCTATTGCTACACCAAGCAGACAAAAAGAAGGCTCACAAGAAGTGTCAGCCAGAATCCCATGTGTGATCAGCTTCCACAAGTTTATGCCACAGTAGAGGTATCCACCCTACTCAATGGGCCAACTGGAAGAGGGTGCAAAATATAATAGGAAATAACACAACCTAAAATTTAAGGGTTCCAACTCTCAATGCTGGTGTCAAGCCATGAAAAACAGATCCAGAGCCGTCCTACCATGTATCTGGCCGCGCATATGGCTTTATAAACTCAATGGTTTCTTTATGGGGGAGCCTGCCCCAAACACATCCTCAGAGCAATAAAACTTACCTGTTTGCAAACCCGGGGATCCTGAGCAGAGTCAAGGCAACGCTGATACAGCTCATAACAGATGACGGGCTCTGGCAGGGCTTCCAGGAAAATGAGCAGAGCTTCAGCCACAGAGTGATTACTGCCAGCTGGATAGACAAGTAAAGGGAAAGGAACTCCAGGAAAAAGGACACACCTGATTTGCTCCCCTCCTCAAGCTCCCTCAACAACTGCTCTCTTCCTCTTATTCAGGGCATACTGATCCTAATTGGGGTTTGATTATTTTATTGGTCCATGTACACTGCAGCTGAGTTGTGACAAAACCTCTTGGGAGGTTTGGGCCAACTTGAGAGTCAGGGGAATATAGCCTGCAGAAGGACAGTCCACACTGGATCAGTCCTGGAAACTAGTCCCATCCTCCTCCCTGTCATAGTGACAGGACATCTGGTGGCAGAAGTGATAAATTACTTGAAGCAGAACAGTACCAGTGCTGTGGGTCCTATTTTCTGTACTTATTAAAAGCCATTATTGCCCAGCTGGCGTGGCTCAGTGGTTGAGTATTAACCTATGAACCAGGAGGTCACAGGTCGATTCCTGGTGAGGACATATGCCTGGTGTGGGGCGTACAGGAGGCAGCTGATCTGTGATTCTCTCTCATCATTGATGTTTCTATCTCTTCCTCTCTCTTGCTCTCTGAAATCAATAAAAATATATTTTTAAAAAGTCATTGTAACTTACCCTTGATTCTTTTCAGTAAGAGTCTGATACAAAAAAAGGTCAACATTTCATAAAAGAAACTGAGAAACAATTGTATAGTCAATGATTACCTTATAATAAAAGACACTGGAGGTCAATGGGGGGAAAAGGAGACATATGTACTACTATTTGTAATACTTTAAACAATAAAAGAATAAAATAAAAGACTCGTATGAAGAAAAGATGGAAGCACAAACATCAAATGTAGGTGGGAAGAAGAGCTTGGCCAAGTACTCATCCAGCTTCCTAAGCCTTTGTCAAAAAGGATACGGATTTTCTCGGGAAGGCTGGTATCCAGGCAGTCTATGATCTGCTGTAACTCTTCCTGCATTCCAGGGGTTTGGAACAGGTCCTCCTACCAAAGAAGTCACAAGGGATGGAACAAGGCAAGATAATCCTAAGGTTCTGAAAACTACCCAGGGATCAGGAGAGCAGCAGGAAGTAAAGGGAAGGATGGTGTGCATAATCATGATTAGGAATGGAGGTGTGACAACGGTGCCTGCTCTCTTTGTCATCTCTATAATTTGTGTAAAATCTTATTTCAAACCAGAAAATTATCTTCAAAAGTTTTAGCCTGTACCCGATATGGCAGAGGACTAGATGGCTAGATCAGGAAACCAGGTGTTCCCAGTTCTACCATGTTGACAAGTAGAAGACAGAGTCTAAACAGTAGAACCACATTCAAACACTGATACAGGTACCCTCATTTCTGAAAACTCATGTTATGCCACTTTGCTTTTACGAAAGACCTACGTTAGTACTTGTTTTCGCTAACTGAAAGCAATCCAAAAACAATTTTTTGCTTTTCTGAAAAAATGTAAGAAACAAAAATAGCATTCAGTGTTTGTTTTGTAGCAAGCTATTATACAGGCATCCCACACCCAAGCAATGAGAGTGGCCTGGACAATCTCCTTCCCCACAAACCACACCCAGCATCAGCATCTCAGCATTAAGCCACCATAGCTTTGAACTGTCTGTGAGCATCTGTGCTTCATCTCCATTTATTTATGCATTCCTGATTTTACTGTATGTTAGTGTTATTTTAGGTTTTATGTGTTGTTTGGTATGCTTTGGTAGGTCATTTTTTGGGTCTGGGAACATTCAAAAATATTTTCATATAAATTAATGGTAATTACTTCTCTTTACACCATTTTGGCTTATGAAAGGTTTCATAGGAATGCTCCGGATAGTGGGGGAGACCCGTATTACAGAATGCTGGGACAGGAGTAAATAGCATGTCCATCGCAAACCTTGCCGCTCAATTTGGTCCCAAGAGATTTCTCTTTTGGGGGGAAATAGGTTGGGGGTGACTAGCATATTAGATAAGATTTATAAGAAAAATGAAGACCAAATTTAAAAAATGGGCTTGAAGTTTGCTTTAAACTTTAAAATCTGCAATGCCTACACGACAGCAAAAGCAGGCATGATCTCAGGTATGCAGTGGTCCAGGGAAAAGCGTGTGCAACCAGGAGACAGGCGGACTCAGTTCGGGACCCAGCTCTGCCACTACGCTTATGCTCTGGTCTTAGGTAAATCACTTAACCTGCAAGCTTTAGCTTTCACATCTGAAAACAGGGATACTTCCACGTGCCCAGACAATCTGACAGTGCTGCCATGTGGAAGTATCTTGGGACAGTTAAAAGCTCTAGACCAGCGGTTCTCAATCTGTGGGTCGCGACCATCGGAAAACACATATAGCATATCAGATATTTACATTACGATTCATAACACTAGCAAAATTACAGTTATGAAGTAGCAACGAAAATAATTTTATGGTTGGGGGTCACCACAACATGAGGAACTTTATTAAAGGGTTGCTGCCGGAAGCCGGTCCATCCTTGCTGCTTGACACAGTCGCTGCAGAGAAGAAACATCTGCACAGCATATGTTTCAAGGGACCTGAAGTATATGGCATACTGTTCTTAATATGTTTGCTCCCCTTCTTGGCGCTATGTGTTTTAACCAAGGTCACCTCTCTGAGAAAGGTTGTTTCCCCAGGTAGGGATTTTTCCCTGAAGTTAGGGAGGCAATAAAACCCCTTAACCAAGTGCCAGGTGGGTAGTTAATCACTTTAACTGAGAACAATCACGCTTAAGCTACATAATCTTTACTCCCTGGAATGGAGATAAGAAACGCCCTAACCTTTGGAATAGAAATTGATAGGATTAAAATCAACTGGTATAAATACAGATGTAACAAGACAACAGAAGACAGAACCTAGACACAGAACCTAGCAACAGAACCTAGCAAGAGAACCTGGCAGAAGAACCTAGAGACAGAACCTAGAGACACACAGAACCTAGAGACAGAACCTAGCGAGAGAACATGGCAAAAGATCCTGGACAGAACCTGGCTACAGATCTTGGCTGGAGAACCTAGACAGAACATGGCAGGAGAACCTGGATAGAACCTGGATAGAACCTGGCTAAAGAACCTGACTAAAGAACCTGACGACCGAACCTGGCTGGAGAACCTGGCTGGAGAACCTAGCGACAGAACCTGGCTGGAGATCCTGGCTAGGCTGCTGATCAACTGAACGCTGTCTCCATGTCATTCCTTCTTCTCCGACTCCGTCCACACCTTTGGGGACCCCTGGACCTGCTGGGGTTGGATCCCAGCAGATTGCGGCATTAGGAAGGTTGAGAACCATTGCTCTAGACTGATGTGAGGTATGATCATTTCCCACTGAACTCACACACCTTCCAAAGTTGTAGAGCAGGCCCACTCTCACTTACCTGGTGACAGGCATATCTGAATAAGTGATCTACCAGAAGCCAGATCTCCTTGGGGACCTGAAGGGGTCTCTCACTGGTGCCTTCATCCAAGGGAACCATCTGCAGAAGAGATTTCTCCTAAGAGATGAGAATCAAAAGGGTCTCAATAAAAACTTTTGTCTGTAACTTACTCTCCAAATCCTGCTTATATGGGTACAACTTGATCTTCATCTGTTAATATATTTGTAGGGTTTTTTTTTCCCCTCACTGGGAATACCCCTGGTCAGAAGGTACTTGATACTGATTCCCACAGTTAAAGGATCTCCTTTTCTAGATGCTTCACTTAACCATTAAGCATTCCATTTGGGTTTATTAGGTTTATCACTTGGATGCACTGTGTGCTATAAATCCTTTCAAGGGTGACACTGAGAACCAGCACTCCAGCGATTCGGTCATGGTAGAGTCCACACACCACCAGAGACGTGTGGACCATTAAATTACAGTTGTCAACACAGTACTCTGAAAGAGCAGCATCTACTTAGGTTTTTGTTGACTTTTAACTTATTCTTCTTTCAGGTTTTACCACAAATATTAGAGTTTTCACTGTTGATTTAAATGAGGTTCACTGGTCGTCAGGAATTCAATACAATTCTCCACATTAGACCTACGTGCATGAATTATTTCAGGCTTGACAAAAGGTCTAATCTTAAGGCACTAAAAGTCATAAGCCTTAAGATCCAAAAATAGTAAACTGAATACAGCATACCAAGAGCCAGAAATACAATGAAAAGTCTAGGGTCTGAGTCCAGAAGTTATGTTTTATATTAATAGCTCAGTAAAAATTTCTCAGGGCTTTGACACCTTTCACCTATCTTCCTATTATCTGTTAGATTCTCCTGAAAGAATCTAAGAGGAAAAACACAGAAGTGACATAAATTGGATCAATAACTAAATCTGAACTTGAAAATGGTGTGTGAATAAACTCAATTTTCTTATGTTTATATAGTCAAATATAAATTATATCAAAAGATGTCTGAAATGGGTTAAAAGGCATCTGAAGGCAGCCTTCAGAAAAATCCTAGTGGAGAAAACAGTGAACAACTTTTTTGCATCTTTTCCCCATCCTCCTCCTCCAGCTTACGGTCATATATTATATATATTCAACTTTAGGAAATTCTGTAAATTCCATGTACAACTCCCAAGCCATGTAGCTTTAAGGGAAAGAAAGAAACATTTTACTACTTCCAGAGACTGTGTCCACCAGAGCAGAGCTACTAAGGGCTCTTAACATTTTGTTCTTCTATAAGCACTGGTGACCTTTTAAAGCCCCCGTGTCTTTCTGGGGGAGATGAGAAAGAGAAGGGAGCATGACAGCTGCTACCATTTAAAATCTATTTTCTTCACATTTATTTTGCTTCATTTCTTTCTTTTCTCCCCAGGCTTCTATTACTTTATATTCACGTTCCCTAGAGTTGCCAGAACTTCTAACAGCGGCTCATCCTCTAACTTCTTTCTGGTTGTGAGTATTGAATCCAGGCATCCACATGGTACTTAAGCCAAAACACTGTCCATAATGCACTCTGCTCACTTTTTGGACCAAATGCAACACAAGTACAAATTCTGTAGAAGATGCCATCAAACTTATCATATATAAATTATTCAGCACTGATTCATATACTCATAAAAAAAAATCTGACATCCAATAGGCACTTTTTCCTGCACTAAGGCATTAAGGCAACACAGGCACTGTCCAAGATGAAAAGACAGAACATGGTCTGCTATTAACAGGAAAAGGTTGGGAGCAGAACCGTCACAATCCTTAGTGGTTTAAAAAGGTTAATAAAATGTCAGTAGGTTATATACACCATCCACTATCCATTTTCAAATTCATGTATGATAATATGAAATGTCACACTTGAGGTCTCTGAAGTCTAGAAAAAGTTCATGCACAAGAAATAATACTTTTTTAAAAGTCCACAAATTATCCTGAGCTCTTAACTTTCAAAGAGAAACCAGGCACATTTGTCTTCTTTCAACAAGACACATCCAGTGTGTGATGAGCCCACACATTGTAACGCTAGTGCTAATAACTAACGTACAAAAACAGTACATCCCCACCACAAAAAGGTCTTAACTGCACCAAATGTGGAGGTCACATTAGTGACTGTGTGAAAGTGCTTTAAGAATGTTTTTCAAGCCCCTGTTTCTCTACTTGATAGCCCTGTATGGAGCCAGGCACTCTCAAGTTCAAAGAGGCGGAAAGCCGCAAAAGGAGCGCTTCACTAGCCTTCAGGAGAACTGGTTCTAGTCTCCTTTGCCCCACACTCCTGACACCCTTGATGTCAGGAACAGTATGACTCCGGTGAGTTTTTCAATTGTGCTGGGCCTTAGTTGCCTCATCAACAGAATGGAGAAAACACCTGACCCTGTCCAAAGGCAGAGAGTGGGACCAGATGACCCCTTATGAACTCATTCAGCTCTATGATTTTATTCTTATGTTCTATTTCTTGACCAGATCTGGGTATTCTTTCAGTAATTAATCACTATTATCACTAATCCCAAATAACTTTTTTTCCATAGAAAGCTGAAAAATAATTTATTCCAAAAGATGGCAGAAGTAAGAAATTCATCCTGAAAATATACTTTGGTGTAACTCTGTTGGGACAGATCTCCCCTTGAACATGTTCTGCTACCGGCTGCCGCACTGGAGTCTTACTGTCTCATGACAGCTTTTAAGCACGTCACTGCTTCTTCCCATGTCACAAGCAGGCAGGAGCCATCTTCAGATCCACAGGTCCCAAGGAGAGTGCTGTGTTTCCCAGAAGAGCACCTTCTGTCTCAGAGGAGTGCCTAAACATTTGATGGCGTCAGCACAGTTTAGATTAAGGAGGCATATAATTCATCAAAGTGTAAAAAAGCTAACAGGAAAATACTGCACTGGAGAGTAAGATGGTCAACTGTGGTGTGCGTGTTTAAGGCAGCTGATGGCCAGAGCAGGCGAGCAAAGGAAGGTGGCCCAGGTGTGGAGGTGACTGCACATCTAGAGGAATTCTCGATTGATGGCTTGATGGCTGAGCACTGGGCAGGGGGTCTTCTTCCTCAAGGCCAGTGATACTTGAGATACCAGATGGCTTCATTTTTCAACTGTGGTCCAAAGAGAGGGTTGAGTTGGGCCAGAATTGCAATCAGCCAAAAGAGAGAGCAGCAAATTGAACAGGTCACCACATGGTGATTAACTCCCCGGTTGGGACCCTTAGGGATGAACCAGGGCACCAGGAGACCGACGATGCTCCAGAACATGCTCATCACGATCAGAGGTACCGTGAAACCTCTGTACACCATGGTAGCCACCGGAGTTGCTAGCCCCTGCCCCACCACCGCACTTGGGTCCCACCTGGAAGACCCAAGTCACTCTTAGTGCAAGAGCAACCCACTTTTGGTTTTATTATCATTGGAAATGGAGGACAGCTAAGTGGTACCTTCCACCATCTCATGAATTTTCAGATGCATAAACAGCTCTTTAGTTATTTCTCATTTCAAAAATACAAGTCTGGAACCTTGAGTCTATTGCTTTTATGTCCTGGGTCTCAATGACTTGACTGGTAGAGTTAGTATCTTTCCTGTACTTCAGACACACTAAAAGCCAGCTCTGGGGGATTTTCACAGTCAGAGGTCTCTGAAATGGGAAAGCCTAGGGACAAATTCCAAGGACCACAGTTAAATGTTAATCAAGCACAGGGAAAAGCATAGGTTGCATTACCTTTTCTAGGAAGCTGTCTTCTTCCTGAGAGCAGAGCAGGAAAAGAAAGTCATTGACAGACAGAAAATTATTAGAATTAATTTACAGAATTAGAAACAGATCAGTATTATGAGAACTCAACTAGCTTTAAACAGTTTTAAATTCTTCAAATAAATCATGATTGTTGAAAATGAAACAATTCTCATATGCAAAATTCTCTATTATGCATATTAAATTTTTGTGCAGTTTACTGAGACTATCACTCAAGAAACATTCATGTGCAGTCCTAGACTTCTGTGTCCTTTGGCAGCTGCCAGCTGACCTGGTCGAATGGCCCTGATGTTTCCTTTTCCTGTGCTGCTTGGAGGCAGGCCCTGCTGCTGCACTGTGCAGCTTCTTGCTTCACCCTAATGCAGGGGTGGGGAACGTCCGGCCTGCGGGCTGTATAAGCCCCTCAAAATCATTTGGTCTGTCCCTGCCAAGGCACGAGGGGCGAGTTAATTAAATGTTTGACCAAATATAGCAGCCTAATTTTTAAGCTGATAATTTTGTATGGCCTGTGAATAATGTTATAAATATCTAAATGGCCCTTGGCAGAAAAAAGGTTCCCCATCCCTGCCCTAAAGCCACTTTAATGGAAAAATCTGGTTGTGAGCCTGATTCAGAAGGAGGTGGTAAGTTTCTCTCCTCTCAACTGCCATTCCTCTCACTCTGGCTAGCCACACTCCTTTCCATCTCCTCATAGCCACTCCCCTCCTCAAAGGACTTTAGAGTCCCCAAATATGGAGGTCCCTCTGAAATGTAAATTAATTCTATTTCAGATCTTTGCGGGCCAGAACATCCATCTTTATCCCTGTTGTGTTTATCCTATAGGGCATAAGAGGAAAAAAGAAAAGCAGGGGAGAGGGAAGAAGCGCTGAATTAAAAAGCTTTCTAAGCATCTCTGTCTTTTGTGTTATTATTACAATCCAATAACAGCAACAATAACTACACATCCACCACTTAGGGAGCTTCTGCCATATAGTGGGAACTGTGCAAAGTGCTCATACACAATGTCATTTATTCTGCACATGTGTGCAAAGTAAGTATTATCCCCACTTTACAGATGAGGAAACTGAGGCTCTGAGAAGATTAGAACTCAGGTCTGACTCCACAATCATTACCACTATGCTCCCTTAGACAACTCAAAAAGGACAATCTGACTGCTTCCTGGACAGTGAGGCAAGGAAAAGCGGTGAGAACGTATTCCACTCCATAGCAGGCTAAAGACAGTGGGAAACCCTAGGTACAAGGCAGCATAGTTAGCAGAAAGAGTACAGGCATTGGTGTTAGTCCTGAGCACAAATCTCTGTTCTCTTATTAATTTTGTACAGACCTTAAGCAAGTTACTAAACTTTGTAAATCCTTAGTTTCTTCATCTCTAAAACAGGGATAACAAAATTTATCTCATAGGGACGGAGAAGCAGCCTAAACGCAGCGGCGGTAGGACGGTAGGCCAGCAGAAGGCCTGGGTCCCTCAAAGCTCCTTCTACCTTCCCAGCAACTCCCAACAGGAATCCTTCCAAACCCACCACAGACCACTAAGAACTTGAGTATAGCCCTAGCCGGTTTGGCTCAGTGGATAGAGCGTCAGCCTATGGACTGAAGGGTCCTGGGTTCGATTCTGGTCAAGGGCACGTACCTCGGTTGCAGGCTCCAGGGCGAGTGCAGGAGGCAACCAATCGATGTTTCTCTCACATCGATAGATATTTCTCTCTGTCTTTCCCTCTCTCTAAAAATCAATGGAAAAATACCCTGGGTTGAGGATTAAAAAAAAATGATGTTGAAAAATAAACAGATAAATAATAAAATAAATTTTAAAAAAAGAACTTGAGCATAAATCACACATCTAAGGTCTAATAGTAAAAGGAGAAATCTCGTCTCATGTTGCTATCAGAGATGTGCTGGGGCTGAGTGAGCGGTGGAGTATGTTCTCTGGCATTTCGAGTGGTAATGTTGAGTGCATTTCCCCCAAAGGACTATGATATATGGCGAGTAGGTTGTTAGTATTAATAGATATATTATGAATTAAACATTCTTTTGTGGGTTTACCTGGGCTTTTAAATACCACATATAAAACGAAATAAAAATAATCAGAGTAACAGTGCTTCATAAAGTATAAAGTATTTATAGTATTACTAGAGGCCCGATGCACAAAATTTGTGTGGGGCTCAGCCCTCGCAGCCACTGGGGCTACCTCGGCCAACACAGTCCCAGCTTCGTCCAGAAGGTCCTTTGGCCTTCTGGTCTAATTAGCATATTATGCTTTTATTATTATAGATAATTATAATACTTTTTAATGTCAAAGTTAATTCTGAGTGCCAAACATCTAATTTAACATAATTTTGGAGCACAGCCTTTTTAAAAATGTAGACGACTTACAAGCAAAATAGAGACAGACTCACAGAAAACAGGCTGACAGCTATGTGTGTGTGGGGGGGTGCGGGATGGAGGTATGGAGGGATTGAGCAAAAAAACAAAAACAGAGAAAAAAATTCACAGACTTGGACAATAGTGTGATGATTACCAGGGGGAGGGGCGGTGGAAGGAGGTGGAGGAGAGTAAAGGGAGGGGGATAAATGGTGACGGATGGAGACTTGACTTGTGGTGGTGAACACACAATACAGTGTACAGATGAAATTATGCACCTAAACCTATATAATTTTGTTAACCAGTGTCACCTCAGTAAATTCAATAAAAATGAAAACAAGTGTAGATTACTTAGTAATAAATAGAGAATTAGCCTGTCTGACACACTCAATTTTCTCTCCCACGAATACATGCCACATGATATGATGAGTAAAACTAGGCAGAGTTTTTATATACTAACCTGTCAAACCAGGCCCTCAAAGCAGTTTTCTTTGAGCAGCAACCACTAGCAGTACCAGGCACTGTGCTAATGCCTCTGGAGGGTGGGGAGGAGGAGAAATGAGGCCATAGAGAAGAAAGACACAATCCCTCTCTTGGTTTTGCAACTGAGTTGGGGTGAGAAGTCCCAGAATTTATGGCCTTATATTGTTATAATTTACAAATATGAGTTCTCAGTAAATGGTTAAAACCAACAAACAAATAAAACAGCATTCAAAGGAAGGAGAAACAGCTTTCACCTGGGACTGTTGGGGGACATTTCACAACAGAGATGGGACCTAACTAGTCCTTAAAAGATTCACAGAGTTTTAAAGGGTAGCAATGGAGTGAGGACATTATAAGTGTAAGGGGTAGAAGTCAACAATGGTGTAGAGAAGGTAAATAATGAGGTGAGATTAGGGAAAATTTAGTCAGCAGGTTTGTGGAGAGCGTGGGAAGATGTTGACAAAAATAGTGGGAAATAAATCTGAAAAGGTGTGTTGAAGTCAGACTTTGGGGGGACCTTGAGCAACAGGTAAAGCTATTTGGATTGCATTTAGCAGGCACGGGGGAGCCACTGACTACCTTTAAGCAAGGAGATGACAGGTCCCAAAGTTGTATTACAGAAAGACCAAGCTGACAGTGCTGAAGAGGAAGAAATGAAAGGATAAGGATATAGAGGCAAAGGGTATGTCAAAAAGCTATCAAGGTGTGTCAAGAAGGAGAGAGTAAATGCCTTACCTACAAATTGGAAAATTATACATATATACATATACATATACATATACATATACATATACATATACATATACATATATATATATGTATATATACATATATATATATATATATATATTATTGATTTTTTATAGAGAGGAAGGGACTGGGATAGAGAGTTAGAAACATCGATGAAAGAGAAACATCGATCAGCTGCCTCCTGAACACTCCCTACTGGGGATGTGCCCGCAACCAAGGTACATGCCCTTGACGAATCGAACCTGGGACCCTTGAGTCCGCAGGCTGATCGAACCTGGGACCCTTGAGTCCGCAGGCTGATCCACTGAGCCAAACATATATATATATATATAAAAATAAATAAAAAGAGAATGTATACACAAGAGCAATCTCTGAAAGAACAATCAAAAGGCAGTAGATTTACATTGTGAGTTTACTTCCCTGGCTACGGGCATAAAGTGGATATAAATTACAGTTATTTCAACACTAGGCTCAAGTCTGAAAATAGAAGCACCACTTAGCCCCCACTAACAAACAGCATACTCGCAAGGTAGTCCTATGGTTACTGCTAATTACTTAGTTCAACTGACCTGCCCACTCTCTGCAAAAGGCTACACCATTGACCACATTAAAAAAGGGAACCTCGTTCAGGATTTCCTCAGTGGGGCAACATTGGCACACTACAAATGTATAGCAAATCATTCTTTACCCCAGCATTCACTCTGAGAGGAATTTTCCCAGTAGTAAATGCAGCTAAAATAATTTAAAAGAGTCATTTAGAGGCAGATTCAAATTTAGAAATTAAAAGCAGGAAACTGAATGATACTGAAGTTCTAAAAAGGATTGCTTCATGTGAAATTAAAGAGAAGAAACACAAACCATACACCTCACAGGATAAGAAATGGGTGGTTAGATCAGTAATACAAAGGAAACACCTAGGAGAGAAATCACTGAAGATGAATTAACCGCCAAGTTGTTATTCTTGTTATTTTAAATTTTTGATATTATTTTCCTAATAGACATAACCCCAAGCAAGTACAGTTTGTCTACCCATCACTCAACTAGTTTCATCTCTGTATTTACAAGTCAAACCTTAAACCAGATCTGGTGCATTCAAATCTGGTCTCTTCTACATAAGGGACATAGTGAATTAAGGTTAAAGGTACAAGTGAAAAATTACAAGATTTCTATTGTTAACACAAATTACAAACTTGTAGTCTAGTCTACAAGCAACACTGGAATGTTCCTCCTAATGTGTCCATTTGCAAGCTCACACCACTTATCAAAGCCTCCTGCTGGCTCTAGATGCTCTCTGGCTCTCCTATAAACTCATCTGTTGACTTTGAGACTCTCTATCCCCTGCCCCCACCCTACCTAACCAGCTCCACACTCTTATCTTTAATATCCACTCTTCCCAATGAAATCTTACAACTTTTCACTTTCATCTTTTAACCTTAATGCACTATGTCCTTATGCCTGGAAGAGACTGCTTACCTAATATATTAGTACACTTGGACTTGACTCAAAACTCTTCCATGACACACCCCAAAACACTTTTCTAGTCCACTTTATTCTTAGGTGCTGAACTAACTTCTAGTTATGTTAATGCTACATGCACGAAATATTCATTAAAGCCAAAATAGGCTGATTTTGAGATTGATTTTTACAAAGATTAGCTGGTTAATCAATAAGCTTTTATAGCATATAAGGGCTTGAATAAACAGCACAGGAAAGGGATCTATTATTAACACAAATTACAAGCTCCATAACTCTCATTCTAAATGACATTCCAAAATATTGACTTCCCAAACACACTGGACATTAGCCAGTAAAGGTGGTTAATGTTTACATTGTCTCTAACCGAACTCCCTATTAACCTTGATTTAGAATTTAGCCATATTCTACATACAAGAAAACTTTCATTACCACAAAATTACAGAACCCACATAAACTCCATAGTATTTTGTATCCAATGTGTAATAAGTAAATACTGATGATTATATGCTAATCTTAATAAACCATAAAAGTCTTATCTTAATTCTGAAAAAGTATAAAAATAATTACAAACAGGTTCTCCTTGCCACTTGGGCTAATCCCAACTATTCGAGAGGGGCAAAGTCACTATCATTGAGATGGGAATGAAGAATGAAAGTACTCATGCCAAGAGGGTTTGGCACAAGAATCTTTCTGAAATGGTACATGGAGAGTCAACACAGGCACTGAACTCATGTCTGGTTTCACTCAAAATTTAGAGTAAATAATACAAAGATGACAACAGGTACCATTATTAATAGTATCATCTCATGGGATATGAAATATCATCTTGGGACTTGGAACAAAGCATTTCAGAAGGGCAAAATCAAGAGTGGGAAAGGTATTACGATTGGGGTACAGATAATGTTAGATTTCTTGTTTACTGCCCACACTAATATGGATAATTTTCCCATCAATGAAATATAGGAATTTAATAATGCAAAAATGCAACAGGATGTGAAAAGAATCAAAACCCTAAGTTCTACAAAATAAAAGATTTAAAAGAATAAATGACGACCACACACATACAATTTAATAAGAACTCAGCAATTTTGTAATGAAAAATTGATCAGGGTTCTACTTTTTTAAACCTTGAATTATTTGTGCACAAAAAGGAAAGGATTTCCTACAGAGCCATTAACTCCACTACAGATTTTGGCTACTTCCTATTCATGGTCAAACATGGTTAAATTACCTGATATTTTAAATAAAAATTTTAAATTGTATGCTTGCTGAGCTCCTTCCAGTCACTTTAATATGGGACAATTACTGTGGGTATTGTAATGCTTTTGCCAACTCTGACGAAAAGTAAAGCTAGATTCCAGTTTACAGGAAATAGGTGGGAAGAGGGAGTTTAAAGGGATAAGTTTAGCCCAGCTGGTGTGGTTCAGTGATTGAGCATCAACCCATGAACTAAGAGGTCACTGGTTTGATTCCCAGTCAAGGAACATGCTCAGGTTGCAGGCTTAATCCCCAGTGTGGGGCATGCAGGAGACAGCCGATCAATAATTCTCTCTCATCATTGATGTTTCTATCTCCTCCTCTCCCTTCCTCTCTCTGAAATCAATAAAAACATATTTTTTTTTTAAAAAAAGGATAAGTTTAAAAAATTATCAAGAGGAAATAATCAAATTTTGGAAATGGTGGACAGCTGTTCTGGACTCTTAAAAATTAAAAATTCAATTCCATTAAAGAAAAAAGGGAGAACTGATCTGCTCTAAAAGAGACTGAAGATCTCACCAAATGTACTGTATGAATCCAGATTGGATTTTGGCTTTAAGAAAGCTACAAAAAAAAACCTCTTGGAACAACTGGAGAAATCTAGATATGGACTGCCTAGTTTCCTTAGGCATAATAATGGTACTACTGTGCTTATAGACAAGTTGTCCTATTCCTTAAGAGACACAGGCTGAAATATTCACTGGTGAAAGTGACATATCACCACTCAATTTCAAATGGAAAAGCCAAACCCACCGCCCCCCCCCCAAAAAAAAAACCCTCTCTATACTGAGGTGGGCAAAAGTAAGTTTACAGTTGTGAGTACACAACATAGAGTTTATTCTTGTATTAGTATTTAACAATTATTGTATGATTTATTTGTATTACATCTGTAAATCTACTTTTGCCCACCCCACTCCTGTATGTATGTAAAGCATGTGAGTGTTCATTTTTTTTTTTAATCCTCAGCTGAGGATATGTTTTTATTGATTTCAGAGACAGAGGAAGGAGGCAGAGAGAAAGAAACATTGATGTGAAAGAGAAATGTCTATTGGTTGCCTCACATACATGCCCTGACCAGGGATCGAACCCACAACTTAAGTATGTGCCCTGATGGGGAGTCAAACCCACAACCTTTGGTGTAGGGGATGAAGCTCCAACTTTCTGAGCCACCTGGCCGGGGATGTACTGATCTTTCAATTTTTACATTTGCCATTTTCAAAATAAAAAGTTGAAACAAAGAAAGCTGGAAATAGTGTTTGGAATGGAGATAAGAGGGTATGAGAAAAAGAAAAACAACTTCATTTAGAATATATTCTAAAAGGTTAAATGTTAAATTTGAAAGACAGAACTATGTTGGTAGAAGAAAAAACAAGTCTGAAAAATAACAGAATGTCAGGATATGAATTTCTGAAAAAAATGGTTTTCTCTTGCATGGGGGTAATACCCTCAGTCATTAGGGCTCTAGGGAAACACGTACAATTCCAAGAAAGAATGCTGGGACTGGACTCAAGGGCTTTAATCTGCCATCTGAGTCATAGCTAAAACAATCCTATGGCAACAGAACAGATCACAGGCAGACAAGCCAGCAGCCTGCCTGCTGGCCCACCCCTCTAGCTAGATGATACAATCATGTTCTGGCCAGGCAAAAAGATCAAGTGAATTCTAATGGTAGTGATAATGCAGGGCTGTCACGTCACCTACTTTTCTTTGGCAAAAGATCAAGGATATACTTTTATAGCCTAAAGAGGTCTGCACACAAATCTAACAATACATTCATTTAGAAGAAAACTTAATAGGATGAACTTGCTACTAAATCAATGTATGTTCCTAAAGATAATATAAGCATTTCCTTCATAAGGACACTAATATTACAACTTAGTGACAGGGAAGGGGAAAGTCTCCTCCTTTCTTTTCTTAAGAGAGTCACATTAAACATGTATCAAACTTCTGTGAACATTATAATCTTCTGGAATGCTGATATGTGCAGATTCCTGGGCCTCACACCCTGAGAATCTGGTTCTGTTGCCAGAGGTGGGGGGAGGTACCTGCACTTGCGTAACGACCCCAGGGCTTCTGAGGCAGGCATTCTGAGGTTCACATACAGGCCTAGGCTGCAATAAGCAGCCAAGTTTGACTTAGATTAGATAAGATATAGTGACGAGCAGTGGACTGGGAGTCAGAAAATCTGGGTGATAGATTTGTCTTAACTTATTCCACTTGGAAAAGTTACTGTCTCTGTGCCTCAGTTTTCTCATATGTTTAATGAGCATAATACTGCTTCTCCCACCTACTGTACCTCATATACATGCCAATTTATACAAAAGTGACTTGGAAGTATGAAGAGGGTAACAAACAAGCATTATATCTTTGAGAAGGGAACCTTTAATCTAATTCAGTGCTTTTAATATTACCTATTATATTCCTGACAAGAGCCAATTACAGATTATCCTTTCCTCTTTCCTTTAGGCTTAATCTAATGAAAGTAGTGCTAGAGTGACAGTCTCACTCTTATTTATCACATGACAGCCCCCCACAGTCCCACCCACCCCCCCCCCCGACAAAAGAGAAAGCAAAGAGACAATGAGGACATCACTTAAGTATTGTGAAAAGTATATCTAAAGGAGATTCATGTCTTAGGATGTTTCTTACCAAGTCTATGAGTTTGGTAACAGGAACTTCTCGAATTGGTCTTTTCATTCGGCACAAAGCCTCTAAGGATGTACCAAAACAACTGGGGAGGTAATTTCCACTGATGGTCAAAAAGTAATCTTTGCCTCCATTCAGGTGAAGGACAAGAATATCTTCAATTTTATCTTCCCCTGAGTTCAGGATGGTCACAGAGTCTTTGCTCACATACACATCAAGGGAAATGTCTACTGTCTCATCTGAAATGTAAGAGATGACACATGGTAAAAGAAACTTCCAATGGGAAAACAAAATGGGGATGAGAACTAACAGAAGGAATATCCTCTAAAAAATCATCAAGTGACAAAGCAGAGAGTGGACACAAAAAAGAGGTATCCCAATACATTGACGGTGAAGGTAAGAGACATGTGGTTAGAGAATAAGAAGTTAAACAAAGGGAGGGGATATGGGAGTCATGAGGAGATGGTACATCACAAGCAGAGACAATGGTAAAGGAAAAACTCACTTGGCTCCAAGTAGCCCTGATTAGGTTCAGCCCGAAGCCATGGCTTGCAGTATTGGCTGTCATTAAGCTTTCGGATGAAAGAAAAATGACAGGGAACCTGTCCATTGTTGGTGATACGGAACTTCTCCTTTTGTAGTTGCCGAAACTTCACATTGGTAAACACAAACTGAGGAAGGACAGACACAAACATGCATCACTAGTAGGGGAAGTAAGTCAGTTGGATTATTCCATAGAAAATATGAATAAAGAATGAGGTAATTATTAACCAGGTGTGCAACTGTCGTATACACTAACCAACTGAGCCAGATGTACATTATCCCCTCTCATATGCTCACACCAGCAGAGGAGTTAGGCCAGTGGTTCTCAACCTTCTGGCCCTTTAAATACAGTTCCTCATGTTGTGACCCAACCATAAAATTATTTTCATTGCTACTTCATAACTGTAATGTTGCTACTGTTATGAATCATAATGTAAATATCTGATATACAGGATGGTCTTAGGCGACCCCTGTGAAAGGGTCGTTCGACCGCCAAAGGGGTTGCGACCCACAGGTTGAGAACCGCTGAGTTAGGCAGTTCTTGCTACTTCTCTAGGCTACTCTGATTGTTCCTGGGATCCTAACAGGATAACCTAACCTTGGGTCAGGGTTCCTGAGATATGATTTAGTCAGCAACTCTAAAATATTAAATAAGAGTAGCTAAAACCTGAGGGCTTATTTTGTACCAGGCACTGTTTTAAGAGCTTCACATTTATTAACTTGTGTAATCCTCACAACTACCCCTTTATCCAGAAAAGGAAACTGTAGTTCTAAAAAGGTAAGATACCAGCCATGGTCATAAATCTACTAAATGGCAGTGCTGGGATTGGAATGTAGGCAGTCTGACAGCAGATACTGTCTTCAACATTTTTGCTCTGTTGCCTTCTCTAAGTCACATGGTTTTCCCTGTGCTAACCACCATGGGCAGCAGAAGAAGCTGCCATGTATTTTTGCTCACCTCCCTCCTGCTGATTTCTAAGGAAGGGAGGAAATCATTTTCCATTCTGTCCATAATGCGTACACTATCTTCAAACACTTTCCGATACCTCCGTTCATCAACAACCTTCACCTGAAAGAAAACAAACCTCTTTTCAGTCTTACATGCTCCTAGTTCATCTTTTGAGACTACCTAACAATTACAACAGGTCATTACAGCAATCATTTAAGATAAACCGTGGTTCAAACAACATCCTCAACACTCTCTAGTATCCCACTCCATACAAAACTTTTGCCTGAGACCCTTATTTTAGTCTTATGAGCTCTCAACTATCTCTAAGAATCTAACAATTTTTAAAAGATCACTAAAGCAGCCCTGACCAGTGTGGCTCAGTTGGTCTGAGCGTCGTCCCATGCACTGAAAGGTCACTGGTTGGATTCCCGATCAGGGCACATACCTAGGTTGTGGGTGTGATCCCAGTCCGGGGTGCATGCAGGAGGCAACCAATCAATGTTTCTCTCTCTCTCCCTTCTACTCTCTTTAAAGTCAATGAAAACATTTTGTAAAGTCACTAAAGCAAACATAAATGAAACTAAACATTACAGAATCATACACTTTAAGATGAAAGTAACGTTAATCGATTAACTTCCTGGAAAAGTGAAACCTCTGTGTTAAGAAGCTTGGCAATAATAATAACATATTTAAAAAGAATAGTTTCTTTTTCCATGGTTATTTGGTGGTGGAGAAAATGTGATGATTTTGTAAGCGATTTCCTGAACTGTACAAAATGACAGTTTCAAAACATACCTATTATTGTTTCTAACTGATCATAAAGTGGTGAAATAGCAGAAAACATGATTAAAGCGTTTAACTCTATTAGCTGCAATGCACAATGCCAAGAATCATGATATCAACACTCAGATTGTTCATAATGATAAAGGTATGCTAGTAAATGGAGCCTATGGGCATTTTAGAAAACAGCTGACCCAAAATGTCCTAGATTAGACTAAAAGCACGATAACAGACAAACGAGTCATCCTGACCAAAAGATCAAAAATCCTGTCTGACACAGCACTTTCAGCTTCCTGACATAGCTGTTTTTTTTCACTATTAAGACTTCATACAAATCAGTGCCAAAAATGAACATAATTAACACAGTATTTTAACTTATTGAGATCCAAGTTTCTTTTTAGAATACAAACTTGACAAATTCAGTATGAAGGCAGTTAGAGGTTGTAAAGCAAATGTGGAAAATAAAAACATCAAAGCTGAGCAAACATCTGTGGATAAACAGAAAAGCATACGTAAAAGTCTAGAACTGTATTGTCCAATATAATAGTCGCATAGGGACCTTTAAGCTATTTCAAAGTGGAGAATTAAAAATTCAGTTCCCAAAGTCACACTAGCCATACTTCAAGTGATCAACAGCTGCCTGCAGCTGGTAGCTACCGTACTGGACAGGATAGATCTAGAACAGTGATGGTGAACCTATGACACGTGTGTCAGAGGTGACACGCAAACTCATTTTTTGGTTGATTTTTCTTTGTTAAATGGCATTTAAATATATAAAATAAATATCAAAAATATAAATCTTTGTTTTACTATGGTTGCAAAGATCAAAAAATTTCTATATGTGACATGGCACCAGAGTTAAGTTAGGGTTTTTCAAAATGCTGACACGCTGAGCTCAAAAGGTTCGCCATCACTGATCTAGAACATTTCCATCATCACAGAAAAACCTATTGAACAGTGCTGGTCTAGAAAGATATAAATTCATAAGGGTAGTTGGCTTAGCTGGGGAGTGGGGGTTTGGTCAAAGGGGGGAAAAGGGATAGAAAGGAATTGAAGATCTTCGGCCTTATCTGTAAATTTTGCTTAAATATTTTTAATTTTAAAGAGAAAGAACTTTTGAATCCCTGTGTAATTTAAAAAGTAGTAAAAACTAGAAAGATAGACCTTAATTAAAGATACACAAAAATATACAGGAAGCATGAAAATTTTTAAATATCCTGCTGGGAGCTATGGAGTAAAATGTATGGAGTATTACAAATAGTCCAAGGTTCTAAAAAGAAATACAAACAAAAAAGCCAAGCATAACTGATTAGATCATAAAGATAGTGTTTCAGGAAAGACATCCTTTAAAAAATGGATTAAGAGAACTCAAATAATAAAACAGGGTAGCCCAAAAGTACAAACTAGAAATTAGGTGGGCTAAAAGTAGTATCTGAAGGCATATCTAGTCAGTAAGTTCTTTAGACCTATAGAAACATTGTGGGGTAGTGGAAAGAACATCTATACTAGTAGGCTTGGGAGTTAAACAGAGTTAATAGATTTGAATTTCAGCAATCCTTCTAGCTGAATGCTCTTAAAGAAGTTATTTAAATGCATTGGTTCTCCATTTGCTCATCTGTTAAATGAGAAATATTTAACTCAAAGTATTATTGGAAAGCGTAAATGAGATGTGTGTAAATTGCCTTACACAGTCCCTGGCACACACTAGCTACTATTTGAGGAACATTTATTATTATTTTAAAATTTCAAAATGCACAAAAGTGAAGTCATGATTGCCTCAATAAAATTTAGAATCTGTTTTAAGATCAAAAAACTAATTTTGTACATAAAAGAAATGCCTCAAATTCATTCCCCTTTAATACAGGAGTAGGATAAGACATGTTAGTGATAACCTATCTCAGAAACCCCCCAAATCAACATATACTCAGAGGAAAGTAATTATCCTCCCATGCTGTTTGGCATGTCTTACCTCATTAATCCTCATAAGTAGGTACTATTTTAACCCCATTTTGTAGAGGATAAAACTGAGGCATAGAGCTGTTACACAAATTTTCCATGGTTACACAGAAAGTGGTTGGGCTGGGAATTGAATCTAAGCAGTTCTAGCTATAAAATCCATTCTATCATGCACTGCACTATACAGATTCTTACAGATTACATGACTGCAGGTCTGGAAAATCTACAAGAAATCATATAAATGTACTAGCTGTAATAAATCAACACGATCCCAAGATATAACCTGCATACTAATAACACACAGCTAGAATATACAATATGAAAACAAAAGCTTTACTCACAACAGAGACAAAAAGTTAAATAATTGGCTATTAACCTAGCCCAGCGTACAATGGAGTTAAAGAGAAATGTGAAACCTGTGTTCCTGGATGGGAAGACTTCATTGTAGAATATGCTTCTTAAAGTCCAGTATATTTATACAAATTTGGTTGTCTTCTGACCAGTCTGTGCTTTTGCTCCTGCTATCAGCACCCCATCCACCTGGAACCTCTCTCTTGATGCTTCAACGTCTTACTATTTCTGAAGAAAAGCCACTCATCCTTTAAAACCTAGCCTCTCTTTTTTATGTATAAGGACTTTAGGAGGCTAAGGTTACTCCCTCGCCATTATGCAGCATGAGAAACATTTGTGTCACTAAAAGGCCTGCAGTGTAAGAGCCATAGAGACAGCATTTAGGAGGGTCAAGGGTACTAACTTCTCAATGCTGCAAATGACTGTTCGGTTATGGAAACATTTATGGCTCACTGAATACTGATCTGTTCTGAGTCTAAAAAATGCTCTAAGAATACAGATACTTAACACACAAACAAATGAATAAACAAACAAGCCTTTACCCCAATAAGGAAGAGGGCGCTAACAGGCTTGTGGTCACTGGTTTTTAGTTCCATGTGACTCCGGTAATGAAGCTGATTAACATTTGTTCCTCTCCAAAGAATTCGGTCACACCAGGCTGGAACCCGACATTTCCCACTGCAAATAAAGAAAGGAATTATAATGAGAACATACCACACAAGAATGTAATACCTACCACACTGGTTCAAACCTGGGTTAGGCGCTCTTGTTATATACTTCTCCTTCATTAACAACCCCTACTATTATCGTCTCTACCATATTGCAAGCTCTGGTGAAGGGACTGTGTCCGCTTGTTGCCACTGAATTCCCAGTCCCTAGTACAGTATCTGTTGCAAAATAGGTGTTCAATAAACACTTATCTAATGAATGAATAAACAGTGCTCCTAAAGATGATTAACACTGTCCTGGGGGAAAGTATAATAGTACCTTCTTAAAATATCCTCAGGTCAGGATTATATACAGAAAATGTCCTCTTCCTTGGCTCTATAAACTATAATGATACTTCACAATAAATAGACAACTAATAAAAATCTAAAAATCCAATACTATATTCCTAGACTGGGCTTACTCCCTGGAGATGAGTAATTAGATTTCTCCTTTAAACCTGGATTTTTATGAACAAGTCTAGCTTCTAATAGAAATGAACTAACATCTAAGCATGCCAGTCTGAATACTTAAGAGCCCATAGAATACCAAAGATGGGGAAAAATTCCATTCATCATTCTATTAAAATAAGCAACACCTTGTACACCTGATCCAGAAGGTGACACAAATAAGTTCTTATCAGTAGCTCTTCAGTTGAATTTCAAGTCAGGTGAGTGGAAGAAATAAGGCCAAGAGTACAGATCTTCTGCCAGTGTCACCTTTCACTTTCTGGCCAGCTTCTGTGGAGCACAGACTCCTCCCTCCCCACCCTAGTGCTCCCTGAGTCTAAAGAAGCTGAATATGTCCAGGGGCTCAGCCAGCTAGGAAACAAAGAAATAGATAATAGGTAGAAGACCAATAGTTACCAGAAATGTACTGACAATGGCACTTTACTAGGGGTAATTAGGAAACAAAGAGCCCCCAGACAGCGGGTCTCAGCTTTCTCTGGCAGCTGCAGATGTTGGGCCCAGACATCAGTATTTTTTAAAGTCCCCCGAGAGATTCTAAAGTGTACTCAGGATTGAGAACCACTGTGCTGGAAGAACTTCCATGGCTCTTTGTTTTCATTTTCTGGTGTCTTGAGTCAAATAGTTAAGAAACCGTTTGGAAAAGGGCAAAAGGTAAGAAAAAGGGTGAGATCAGGAAGGTCAAAATCTAAGCAAGTCTGCCAGGGTGAAAAAAATAAGGTACTGCAGATAGCCCATAAGACTGCAACAGCCCTGATATAGAAGTTATACTTTTTAGAAATATGCTCATCTTTGAGTTCACGTGAATTAAAAACTCTTCTATAATAGCACTGAACCAATAGGTGTTTTATATCAGCTTCTGTGGCATGACCTAAAAATTTCCTACCCCTTCACCACCATGGAGGGGCAGAAATAAGATCAGGCCTTAACCTATTCCTTGAGGAGGCTTTTGCTACTTTACCTGGAATCCCATCGGTCTGTTTTGGAGTCATACTTATAAGTGGGGATAAACCTGATTTCCCCTTCAGTGAATTCAGGAAAAGCCTTTTTCTGTGTGCGCTGAATATTTAGCTACAAATAGAAAGAAGCATCACATAAGCAGGGTCACACCGTCCTATGTAATAAAAGCCTAATATGCAAATTGTCCCCTCGATCAGGAGTTCGACTGCTCCCTATGATGTGCAGTGACCACCCGGGGGGAGGAGGGGGTACGAAACATGGCAGGCATCGGCAGTTACGCGCTGTGACCTCTTGCTGGCTACCTGGGGGCGGGGGTGACAGGGACGGAGGTGTGGTGAGAATTCGGGGTGTCCGCTGAGCTCACTCTCACTTCCCCTGCTACCCTCCCCTGGGATGCCAGGGCTTGTGTGCCAGGGAAGCCCCACACTTAGGTGCCACGGCGTCTTCCAAATGAGCTGAGCTGCAGCTGCCAGGACCGCAGGGGCCAGTCAGGCTCCCTGTGGGTTTGTGCAGGAGCCGGTCTGCGAGGCCGGCCAGGAGAGAGAGCGCTGCCCGCCGTGCTTCTGTGCTGCGCTGCTAAACGGCCCAGAGGCCCACACTGCGCCCCAGCCCACGGCATCCAGCCATGCTCACCGCATCTCTGTGGGGACTCGGGCGCCATGACTCAGGTGGAGGGGTCACGCGGGGCTCTGAGGGCCCAGGTGCTGCCCAGGGCCCAGAGGTCAGCTGGGACCTGCCCTTCCATGCCAGACACTCATGCTTCAATCGCTAGCCAGGCCTAGGGACCGCACCTGTGCACGACTTTTGTGCACCGGGCCTCTAGTCTTAATAAGTGATAATCTGGTAGATTGGCCATTTCTAAGTAGTTAGTTCCACAGCCTTTGCAACTGTCAAAGTATATAAATAAAATTTCTGTACCTTATGAATTGAATCATGTAATTCCCATAGCACCCAAACTCATCAACAGATAGGATGCTCATTATGAGCACACTGCTGATTATTTATTGGTAATAATGGTTAGGTAAAATGGAAAAATTAAATCTGAATATTCCTAAATTCCCTGAAGTTGGACAAGAACCATCTAGCACAATTTTACTTTTAAAAAAAGCACACATGCCCAGCTGGTATGGCTCAGTGGTTGAACATCGACCTATGAACCAGGAAGCCACGGTTCGATTCCTGGTCAGGGCACATGCCCAGGTTTCAGGCTTGATCCCCAGTGTGGGGTGTGCAGGAGGCAGCCGATCAATTATTCTCTCCCATCATTGTTGTTGCTATATCTCTCTCTCCCTCTCCCTCTCTCTCTCTAAAAAAAAAAAAAAAGCACACAGCTCTAGCCAGTTGCTCAGTGGTTAGAGCGTCAGCCCACAAACTGAAGAGTCACCAGGTTCTATTCTGGTCAAGGGCACATACCTTGGTTACAGGCTCGATCCTGGCCCTAATTGGGGCACATGAGGGAGGCAATCTATATGCCTCTCTCACAATGATGTTTTTCTCTCTGTCTCTTCCCCTTCCTCCCACTCTCTCTAAAAATCAATGAAAAAAATATCGTCAGGTGAGGATTTCAAAAAATACCACACAAATGTTGGATAATTCCAAAAGTCAAATTCAGTGAAGAGCTACAGATTGTTTTGAAAGTTATCCTCACTCAAATATTTTACCAGAAGTACATAAGACGAAGAATTTAATCCAACTATAACCCCTTTGGAGGCAGAAAAAAAGCCATGCAAAGAAATTAGCCAACCAACCTCAATGTGAAGGAAGACAGCCAAGAAAGGCTCACTATAAAAACCATTCTACTGCAAAACACCTGAAATTTTAGTATGTCAGATCAAAAGGCTCATGGAAGGATTTAAAGACATTCAAATAAGCATTCACTTTTAGCATCCAGTACTCATAAGCTGAAACAAAAATTCAAGTCCTGTGCTAGGGTCCGAGGCAAATTTACAAAAAACTAGGTTCCAGAATATCAAGTTTTATATAAATGTTACCAAAACAATACTTTCCCCACAGATTTTACCATCTATAACTCAGCTAGCCCCAACCCCTCAATCAGTTCACATTAAACCACAGTCTGTGTTATTTGTCCCAAACTTCTCTTCTGTGCTTCCCGATTCCCTTACAGGACTTCCCTTTTACCTCTAAACTATTGCTGAGCCTGCCAAACAATCAGAGCAGCTTTCCCTATTCCATCTGCCAAACCACATCAACATGGCTGAAGGCCCACTTCCTCCAGGAAGTGTTCTCAAATTCATCCCACCCATCCTCCAACTCATTGACACAAATCTTTTCTTGATAAAAAGTTAATGAATAACCTTATATTTACTCTTTATCACTATCTCACCTCCTGCCATCTAAGTGCTTCATAAAAGCACCACAAACCTTGTGTGCATTCACTGCATCACTAATCACACTGTTTCCTAAGACAATGAGACCCTTCCATCTATTCCTAGAGTAAGACACACCTCCCACACGTCTGTCTCATAATAATTTTATCTGCTATCTAAGAAAGTACCTATAAAATGAAAATTTACTTACCTGGTCAAATTTCAGGAGTCTCGGAAGATCATTCCTGCTAATAAGACTCTTCACTTCGTTGGCATCAGGCATGCAAAGTCTATAGTTCAAATCTCCCAACCAGATGACCACACTGAGGATCAAGAAATATATGAACATGCTAAGTGAAATTAGTCAGTCAGAAAAAACTAAGAACTATATGATTTCACTCATATGTGGGATATAAAATTCATGAACACAGTGTGGTGACTGCCAGAGGGAAGGGGGGGGAGGGTCCTAATAGAAGGTGACAGAAGATTTGACTTTGGGTGGTAGGCACATGGTGCAATATACAGATCGTGTAACACCGAAACTCACACCTGAAACCTATATGTTCATGCTGACCAATGTCACCCCAATCAGTTTAATAAACATTTAAAAAAGAGAAATACATACACAGAAGTAGCCATAATTAGCATAAAAATCAATCAGAGAAGAAAAATGGGCAGATTGTTGATAAGGATTTGTTTGTCACTATCTGACAAGGGCCTGAAGCTGAAATTGTCCTTTAGGGGCAAGCACTATCAATACCTGAGAGGGATTAGGGATTATAAAATAGGCAGGAGGGTAGGCACTCCAAACATGAAGAACAATGGCGAGGAAATAACACAGTATATGTATGGGATTCAGAAGCCAAGGAGTTAACTGCCTGAGAGAAGCATGTAGTTTATTTGCTGGACCAGCTTCAAAATTTTGCCTGGCTGCTTGCCAGGTCTCTAAGGGAAGAGAATCTGAATGTTTTCTGTCTCTATAAGCCCTGGATTCTGTAGGCTCTCCACTAAGGTCTGCGTGGTCTGAATGACACCTCTTCCACTGGGAAAAGTGGGTCCAGGGCTCTGCTGCAGCCAATCTTTCTGCCCCTGCCCCAGATCTGTGCTCCAAATCCCAAGCAGAAAGGAGACTGAAATATGTTGGGATCTATAGGCTCCCAATCACACCAACAGACCCCTACATGTGCTGAGAACCCCACAGGTGAGACCTTGAAATTACCATACCAAATGGATTCTCCTGTGAGCTACTCAAGCACTGAATGAGTCTCTTTGCCAATCTTAAGTGCAACACGAAATTTCTGGAATCCTGAGGAAATAAATTTATGGAACTTCAGGGCAACTTTATGACCATTAATGCCAAGGCCTTGATTTTACCACTGTGAAACAGAATTCCACCTGATCCTAATTATTGAGACAATATGAAAACAGGCCAACATCACTATCCTTCTGCCCCTGCCCCAGATCTGTGCTCTTTCCTCAGTTACCCAACTCTCTATTGATTTTACTACCCCAAGATTATCTTTTGTTTTCCTACAATTCCCATCTCAAACCACTTATTCTAAACCACATCATCCTCTCAGAATTTCAATTACCAGTATTAATTTCTTTAGAACTGATCATTTTCTACCACCCAACCCATTCCTCAATTGATTTCTGCTTCTATCCTTATTAAGTCCCATTCTTCACTAAACTGTCTTTCATACTGATCCATTGGGGTCTTTAAATCTCCACCATCCCTATTCTTAATGATTCACAGGTATTAAAAGAACAATGTAGATCTATATATACTGGCTTAAAAAGAGATCCACAATAAATAGGACAATATAGTCCCATATAATAAGTATGTGCTTGTATGTGCATAGAAAAAAGTCTAGAACAGCACTATTCAAAAGAAATACAATGCACATCACAAATGTAATTGTAAATTTGTAATCGTTTCATTTAAAAAGTAAAAGAAACAAGTGAAAATAACTTTAACAATAAATTTCATTTAACTCAATATATCCATTATTATCATTTCATCATGTAATCAATACTAAAAATTTTAGATATTTTACATGTTTTCCCAAGTCTCTGAAATCTACTGTATAGTTTATGATTATAGCACATCTCAGCTCAGCCTTGCTGCTTTTCAGAATCCCAGCCACCCCTGGCTCCTGGCTGTCATATTGGATAGCATGGACTTAGAAGGATACACACCAAACTGTTAGTAGTGGTTTCCTCTGGAGAGAGAGATTGGCTGGGGTGAGTAGAGGATAAGAAATCAGGGATTTTTACTTTTAATCTTATCCTTATTACATTTACAACGAACATTTCTATTTTATAATTGGAAAACAATAAAAACTGACTCCAATGGACAGACCCTTCCTGCGTTACTTGAGATGCCCTAACAGAATTAACCTTTCCTCTGAGAGCATCTAATTTCTCTGCCTCCATGAATCTATTCCTCCAAACCCCCTCTTCTTTGTGACTCTATCCCTAAATGGTAATCCCTTACTCTTCACGGTTCTACAGTTTCTCACCATGCTTATTCTTTTCTCAGCTCTACTATTCCAAGGCTAAAGGAGACTTAACCACTCACTCATGTTTCATGATGTTCAGCTGCGGGAGGGCCTGATTTGGGACCACAAAACTCATTCGTGCACAGATGTCCTTATAATCTTGATTCCTTCTCTCGAAGTCCTCCACATGGGCAGCCAGGTGGGAATTGACAATGCAAAACGTAGTATTGTGAAATACAAACCTCACTGCTACCCCACCTTTGTTTCCCTGTTGGCAAGAGTAATTGTTCAGTTAGTTCAAAGATACAAATAGCAACTGAACTTCACATCAAGCTCATTTCCAAAGGAACTCACCATTTTCCCCATGACTCCGGTTCCAACTGTTTCTGTAGCAACATTTCTGTAGCAACATCACAGATATATTGCCACTGATCCTTTCTGGCAAATATCATGAGCATCATTCCAACAAGGCGAACTAGTTGTTAGAAAAGGTCCATGTTAATACCACTCTTTTTAGATACCACATATCTAACTTCACACAACTAAATTTCCATCAAGAAGACATTTCCATCAAGAAGACATAACAAATACCCAACCTGTATCCAAATCATCTAATTTCTTGGTGGACCTCCATGAAGAGGAAACAAAATCTGACCAGTAAGTTAAAAGTCTTCGGGGGACAATGAGTGCACTCAGCTCTAGAGCCATTATTTTAATTACTTTCTTAATCACAATGAGTGCACTCAGCTCTAGAGCCATTATTTTAATCACTTTTTTTTAGCCTATCAGGAGTAGGGCGTATTAAAAATTCAAATAGTGAAGAGAAAACCTCTATCCCAGTTTGTTCCTTTTTCCCTCCTTCCTAGTTTCTAATTTCCAATTTCCCTTTTATTTTGATTATCTTAAGTCTGTGAACTAGAACTAGACATATGTCTGAAATATGTATTAGGCAGGGGCTGATTTGAGAGGAATAACATCATCAGGATATTTATTACCTACATCAACTGTTAGAAGATACAGATAAAAATTACTCAGGCAGATAACTCCTTTTAAAGGCCTTAGTGTGGTAACCCTGCAATTAAAACAACTCTTATGGTAGCCTCTACCTTGTGCCTTCTAAAGACCAACAAATTGGCCCACCTTGCTAAAGTCTTGACTTATGACCAAGTTTAGAACTCATTTAAATACCACAACACTTTGTATTCTTGCTCTGATTCCAAAACATACCCTATGCATCTGCATGCTTCAAACTGCTTTTCTGTAAAGCATTCATTTCTGACAATGTCAGTGAACAATTTCAACCTTAAACTCTTACTCCACAAATCAGTGGCTTTATAGGTAATTGTTTTAATTATTGTTATAAAAATAATTTTTTTTTCTCCTAAAAGCTAACTGAGCAATGAAAATACAGAATCAGAAAGCTCAGGAAATTTTTTTCTAAGATAGGTATAAAAAGGATTAGTCTGCCCTATTCCAGTATTACACATGAGAAAAAAATCAATTAAATCATTCTTTTGGAACAAGTTATACATAACAATAAATTCTAGACAGTTCTATTTAGTCACATACTAAAAAGATAATTAAATGTGACTTACTTTCTTGTACTTGGCTTTGGAATGCAAAGCCCTTTCCACAGCCATGGACCATTCTTGTTCTTTGATGGATTCAAAGTAGAAAAATGCTTCTGTGCTCAAGTCCAGCTCTTGGAATCTGAGAAGCAAGAGGATGTAAAATCTATACATATCCCATAATTATAGCTGACTACCTTCTGTCCCATTTTGAGACATTAGGTGAAAAAAGAAATGGGATAGAGAGAAATTTTATAGAACTGCTCTGCTAACCCAGGTGATCTGTAAGGATAAGTAGCTTTCTTTTCAAAAGACTCCCCATAGCCCTAACCGGTTTGGCTCAGTGGATAGAGCGTTGGCCTACGGACTTAAAGGTCCCAGGTTTGATTCCAGTCAAGGGCATGTACCTTGGTTGCAGGCACATCCCCAGTAGGAGGTGTGCAGGAGGCAGCTGATCGATGTTTCTCTCTCATTGGTGTTTCCAACTCTCTATCCCTCTCCCTTCCTCTCTGTAAAAAATCAATAAAATATATTTTAAAAAAAGACTCCCCACAAGTATATGCACAGACTATGCAAGATGTATACATACAACTCTCCACAAGGGATACAGAAGAGTTTTGCTTATACATCTTAGAAATAGTAACTGTTAGAACTGACTCCATGTCTCAGTTTCTGTGAAGAATATAGTTTTCTGTATATTTCAAGAGGACTAGATGTTTCCTTATACCATTTTAAACATCTGTTCATTTTTGATCTCACAAAATTGACCCACAAATAACTCTCACTTAGAGTCTACAGCAGAATTTTACCATAAAGTTTTTTGTTTTTGTTTTTAAAAAAGGAAGGCAAAATTTCACATAAACTAACACCAAACATACAGCTAAAAGGAAAGTCCAAATGTGTTCTTTACCCAATGCAGTAGATATCAGGAGGATCCGGATCACAGTTCAGCCAAGGTTCTAACCCACTATCAGGAGACTGGCCATTCACATTCCAAGTTCCAACAAAAAATCTAATACATAATACAAAAAAAAGTAAAAACAAATGTCAACAATGAACCAATGGAAGTTCTCTCATCACTTCTATACAACGGTATGTTCAAAATAAGCCAACATAATTTCTCAAATGTTTTGCCAAACATAAGAAAAACCGCCTGCATGTAGAACACAAAGGCAGTGAGCTTATTCTCTCTAAGCTTTACATTAGGTGAACCTATAGAAAGGAGCCAAGTCTCTATTTAAAAAACACAAAGTTAATTGATCTGCCATATTTCTTTTCAATTCAACTCCATCCAAACTCATACTTGAAGGGAGAGCTTATTGATGGGGAAGAGATACCGTCATGCTGTAAGTGTGTTTTAATATGGATAACTAAGAGCTGGTTCTTTGAAAGGATAAACAAGATTGATGAACCTCTCACCAGGCTCACCAAGAAACAAAGAGAGAGGACCCAAATAAACAAAATCAGAAATGAAAGAAGTTAAGTAACAACTGACCCTACTGATATACAAAGGATTGTAAAAAAATACTACAAATAACTCTACTCCAAAAAACTGGACAACCTCGACGAAATGGACACATTCCTAGAAAAATACAACCTTCCAAAACTCAATCAGGAAGAATCAAAAAACCTGAATAGGCTGATAACTACTGATGAAATTGAAACAGTAATCAAAAAGCTTCCAGCAAACAAAAGCCCTGGACCAGATGGCTTCACAGGGGAGTTTTACCGAACATTCAAAGAACTAAAACCAATCCTTCTCAGACTATTCCGAAAAATTCAAGAGGTAGGCACACTTCCAATCTCTTTCTATGAAGCCAGCATTATCCTAACCCCCAAACCAGATAAGGACACCACAAAGAAAGAGAACTACAGGCCAATGTCCCTCATGAACATAGATACTAAAATCCTCAACAAAATTCTAGCAAACAGGATCCAGCATTACATTAGAAAAATTATACACCATGACCAAGTGGGATGCAAGGCTGGTACAATATCCGCAAATCAGTAAACATGATACATCACATAAACAAATCACATAATCATATCGATTGACGCAGAAAAGGCATTTGACATAGTCCAGCACCCTTTTCTGATAAAAACGCTCAGCAAAGTGGGAATAGAAGGATCATACTTCAACATAATAAAAGCCATATATGACAAACCTACAGCCAACATCATACTCAACGGGCAAAAACGAAAACCATTTCCCTTAAGAACAGGAACAAGACAGGGATGCCCACTTTCACCACTCCTGTTCAACATAGTACTAGAAGTACTAGCCGTAGAGATCAGGCAAGAAGAAGAAATAAAAGGCATCCAAATTGGAAAAGAAGTACAATTGTCATTATTCGCAGATGACATGATACTGTACATAGAAAACCCTAAAGACTCCATCAAAAAATTATTAGATTTAATAAATGAATTTGGCAATGTAGCAGGATACAAAATTAACGCCAAGAAATCTATGGCATTTTTATGCACCAATAGTGAAATTACAGAGAGAGAAATTACAAAACAATCCCATTTACCATTGCACAAAAAAATTAAGATACCTAGGAATAAACTTAACTAAGGAGGTAAAAGACCTGTACTCAGAAACCTACAAGACGTTGAAAAAAGAGATAGAGGAAGACATAAACAGATGGAAGAATATACCGTGTTCATGGATTGGTAGAATCAACATTATTAAAATGTCCATACTACCCAAAGCAATCTATAAATTCAATGCACTCCCCATTAAAATATCAACGGCATATTTCACAGATCTAGAAAGAACTCTCCAAAAATTCATCTGGAATAAAAAAAAACACCAAAATATAAAAACAAAAAAACGAATAGCTGCAGCGATCCTGAGAAAGAAGAACAAAGTAGGAGTGATCTCAATACCAGATATCAAGATGTACTACAAAGCCACTGTTCTCAAAACTGCCTGGTACTGGCACAAGAACAGACATATAGATCAATGGAATAGAATAGAGAACCCAGAAATCAACCCCGAACCACTATGCTCAATTAATATTTGACAAAGGAAGCAAGAACATACAATGGAGTCAAGACAGTCTCTTCAATAAATGGTGCTGGGAAACTTGGTCAGACACATGCAAAAAAATGAAACTAGACCACCAACTTACACCATACACAAAAATAAACTCAAAATGGATAAAGGACTTAAACGTAAGACAGGAAACCATAAAATATTAGAGGAATCCACAGGCAGCAAGATCTCAGATATATGCTGAAGCAATATCTTCACCAACACAGCTCCTAGGGCAATGAAAACTAAAGAGAAAATAAACAAATGGGACTACATCAAAATAAAAAGCTTCTGCACAGCAAAAGAAACCATCAACAAAACAACAAGGAAGCCCACTGCATGGGAGAACATATTTGCCAAGGATATCTCCAATAAAGGTTTAATCTCCAACATTTACAGGGAACTCATGCAACTTAACAAAAGGAAGACAAACAACCCAATCAAAAAATGGGCAACGGATCTAAACAGATACTTTTTGAAAGAAGACAGAAGAAAGGCCAAGAGACATATGAAAACATGCTCAAAGTCACTAATCATCCGAGAGATGTAAATCAAAACAACAATGAGGAACCATCTCACACCTGTCAGAATGGCTATCATCAACAAATCAACAAATGACAAATACTGGAGAGGATGCAAAGAAAAGTATGGAGTTTCCTCAAAAAACTAAAAATGGAACTTCCATTTGACCCAGTGATCCCACTTCTAGGAATATATCCCAAGAAACCAGAAACACCAATCAGAAAGGATATATGCACCCTTATGTTCATAGCAGCACAATTTACAATAGTTAAGATTTGGAATCAGCCTAAGTGCCCATCAGCAGATGAGTGGATTAAAAAACTTTGGCACATCTATGCAATGGAATACTATGCCACAGTAAAAAGGAAGGAACTCCTACCATTTGCAACAGCATGGATGGAGCTGGAGAACATTATGCTAAGTGAAATAAGTCAGTCAGAGAAAGATAAATATCACATGATCTCAATTGTGGACTATAATGAACAACATAACCAATGAACAAAAACAGATCTAGAGACAGAGAAGCATGGATCAGACCATCAAACCTCAGAGGGAAGGTAGGGGAGGGTGGGGGTAAAGGGGAGAGATCAACCAAAGGACTTGTATGCATGAATATAAGCATAAGTGATGGATGCAGACAACAGGGGGTAAGGGTGAGGGCAAGCCTGGGGGATGAGGGGACAATGGGGGGATAAAGACACATTTGTAATACCTTAATCAATAAAAATTTTAAAAATATATGGATAACTATTCTGTAAGGAGCTATCTATATATATAAAGAGGGTCCGTAACATCCAAATTGAACGAAGGGACAACCAAATGCCAGGTGGCGTGCGCAACAGGCTCGGGTGGGCGGGGACTGGCGAGCGGGCCGAACTGCTGACCTCTCGGTCTCTCCCCCACCCCGCTCCCACGGGTGCCGTGGTGACCCAGCACTGACTGCCGAGGGGGCTGTGGGCCCCAGGATGCCGCGGCGCCATGGCGGGAGGGGGTTGTGGGCCACGGCCTGCCGGGGTGTGGTGGAACTCTGGTCTTGTGCGATTGGGGGCGTGACTGGCCTTCAAACCAGACCCTGACAGGAGGGAGGAGGGAGCCCCATTCCTCGCAGAATCGGCCTTTGGATAGCTTACTGTCAGCAGCCTGCCAGCCAGGAATCCCATTCACCTGCACCCCGGACCCTGGCAATCAGGCAGGCAGAGGTAGTTAGGGGTGATCAGGCAGACAGGCAGAGGGGTTAGGGGCAATCAGGCAGGCAGGCGAGCAGTTAGGAGCCAGCGGTCCCAGATTGTGAGAGGGATATCCGACTGCTGGTTTAGGCCTGATCCCACAGACATCCCCCAAGGGGTCCCCGATTGGAGAGGTGCAGGCTGGGCTGAGGGATGAATTTTGTGCACTGGGCCACTAGTACTTGAATTAAAAAACTTACTTCCAGAATTACAGGTATCTGTAATTCTGGAAGTAAGATATAGTTTTAAGGGGGAAAACTTCTGATTGTCTTAACCATTTACACACAAATATAAGCATCATGAGGACTATAAGAAACTGAAGGTTTTAGCATAGGGATATAGCTATGATTGAATTAGAATAAGTGAGGCATAATGGGATAGCAGATGGGACTGGAATCTTGGAACAGAAGGGTACATGCTGTTCACAAATAAAGAAAAGTGTTATTGCTTTGTACATTGGAATACACACCAGGCCATGCCACACCACATACCACACACTGCATCCAGAAAAGAAGATATCAACATGTAAGGGTGACATGAAAAATGTAATACAGAGGAAAGAATCTAAGACATACCTCCCCACCAAGAGGATTAGGTGAAATGTTCTTTAGTTAACTACCAAAGGAAGTAAGTTAAGATCTAGTGGTTTTGGTGGACTTTAATTTTCCAATATTGTTGGGAAAAAAATTCAGCAGGCCAGATAGATAAAAACACTTGCTTATGGACTGTGCTATGGGATAATTCTCTAGTACAGTGACTTTCAACCTTTTTCATCTCGTGGCACATAAACTAATTACTAGAATTCTGCAGCACAATAAAAAATATATTTTTGTCTCTGACGAAAAATAGGTATAATTTTGATTCATTCACACCAGATGGCTTTGTTGTGTTGGCTGTTGTCATTTTTTTATTTGATGATCTAATGGAAAAGAGGTCAGTGTCCCTGACTAAGTAATTGGGTATTGCATGTTTTAAAAATTCTTGAAATACACCAGTTAAAAATTACTGCTCTAGTACATGTGAGCTTGATCTGGTTCCCTAAAAGTAGATAGAAACATTAGTAGATATAGTATCATTAGTAGTTAGAAAATCCAAGGGAAATTGTGGCATTTGTATTATTTCGGATAGACATAGGGCAGTGATGGCGAACCTTTTGAGCTCGGCGTGTCAGCATTTTGAAAAACCCTAACTTAACTCTGGTGCCGTGTCGCATATAGAAATTTTTTGACATTTGCAACCATAGTAAAACAAAGATTTATATTTTTGATATTTATTTTATATATTTAAATGCCATTTAACAAAGAAAAATCAACCAAAAAAATGAGTTCGCGTGTCACCTCTGACACGCGTGTCATAGGTTCGCCATCACTGACATAGGGGCTTGAATCAGCTGACCATTCCTTTTCATTATGCCTTGATTCTTAATTAAGCTAATTAAACTAATACCTTACATATCAAAAGGCCATTTTCTGCTATACTTCAGTAGTGCAAGACAGACCTACCTGAAAGTCTGAATGTTGACATACTCTTTCTCTCGCTTTGCCAGGATATGTTTGATGAGACCTTCCCGCTGCCCAGACTGGTTATTTGGTACAAAGAGCTTCCGCATGGTATCGGTCACTTTGGGCTGTTCCTTGTTAGTAGCTTCTTTGTCACGTGGAAGCCTAGCAAATAAATGAGAAATCCAAAAGTTAAACTGCCTAAAATAGAAGTCTTCTACTTGGGAAATATGTTTTGACATAGGACTTACATTCTGCTCACTGAAGGGGGTGGGGGTGGAGGTTCCCGGTGAACCCCAATAGGCTGACTTTGTGAATTTTTCTTCTCCAAATTCATAACTGAAAAATTATCCTCAAATCCAAGAAGCCCTGAAGGACACAGAATCCATCATCAAACCAGGGGGTGGGGGGGATAACATGCAACTTATCCAGGACAAATAGGGCTTTGCTTTGATCAGTGGGTTTGATTTGAGCATTGACACATTAACTAGAACAGTTAATCTGAACCCTAAATAATGAGCGCTAACATTTATTGAAGATTTAGCACAATGCCTGGTTGATAGTAAGGGATTATATCTTATCTTGCTTAATCATCACAAAGACCTCGTGAGGTCAGTGCTATTAAAAATCTTCCCATGTTACAGAAAAAAAAATGGAAGCTCTGAGTTGTTGAGCAACTTGACCAAGGTCATATAACTAGTAAGTTGTAGAATTTGGGATTCAAACCAAGGCAGTGTGGCCTTGGAGCTTGCATTTTTTTAAAACCACACTGCTGCCCTAACCGGTTTGGCTCAGTGGATAGAGTGTCGGCCTGCGGACTCAAGGGTCCCAGGTTCGATTCCGGTCAAGGGCATGTACCTTGGTTGCGAGCACATCCCCAGTGGGAGGTGTGCAGGAGGCAGCTGATCGATGTTTCTCTCTCATTGATGTTTCTAACTCTCTGTCCCTCTCCCTTCCTCTCTGTAAAAAATCAATAAAACATGTTAAAAAAAAAACAAACCACACTGCTAAGCTGGCTCCTGAAGAGCTAACATGCCACGGAAAGGATCAGGAGTGCACCTTGATCAGTGGGCATGGACTCCATAAAACCACTCCATAGGACAGTGATGGTGAACCTTTTGAGCTCGGCGTGTCAGCATTTTGAAAAACCCTAACTTAACTCTGGTGCCGTGTCACATATAGAAATTTTTTTTATATTTGCAACCATAGTAAAACAAAGATTTATATTTTTGATATTTATTTTATATATTTAAATGCCATTTAACAAAGAAAAATCAACCAAAAAAATGAGTTCGCGTGTCACCTCTGACACGCGTGTCATAGGTTCGCCATCACTGCCATAGGAGATGCCTGACACTGATATTAATCCACATTATATTATCTATCTAGAAAAATCTATTGACTCTGCAATGATCAAAGCAACCAGAAAAAAAGAATCTTTTCAGTACCTGAAAAACCAGAAGGTTGATGCTTAGTGTCTAATTTCTGGTACCAGATGGATGAGTCCTTTTGTTCTGGAACAAGAAGTTGTGAATGTGCTGGAGAGATAAGGGTCATGGTCAGAAACTGGGGAGCCCGTCATTGGGTGGAATTTACGACAACCAAAAGCCATTCACTCAGCACTCCTCAAATGCAGGGCCAGCAGCATTCTTGAATGTAAAGGAAGACACTAAGAAAATGAGGGCAGCTTGGGAATCATTTGGGGACAGAAGGCAGATTACACTCTGTAGTAAGCTGTCATGTAGTAAGCTGTAATGGAGATTCTGGAAACTGGCTCAGTGTCCTTAAAGCTGAATAGACTTGTTCCCTAACCCATCCCTGGGTTTATTCTTGAATTTTTTTAAAAAATCAGCTATCAAGACTCAGGAGGTGAGGTACTTTGTTCATGGCCACTTGCTTCTGTATCAGCATGTCAGAACTTCAATCCTATTCAAATAGTAGAAAGAAAACTGAGGAGTCTTGAGTTACCTTCTTGGGCAGCAAGGACCTCTGACAGGAACTTCAAACGGCGTTCCTCATTAGGGATTTCAAAGCGGCGCTCTCTGGTCCAGTCCCCCTGAACCCGAATTCTGCAGCCACCTAAAAAGAATTGAAATCCATACACATATAGCTATGGAATACACTGCTTTCTTGGGATCATATTCTCAATTTACCAGATGAATAGGAGAAAGTCCAGATCACAAATATTTCAGACCTCTAATGTAGGAAGCATGTCCACCAGATCAAAAGATTCAGTGTGATAGTGGTGGTGGAGGGTAATGCAGGGTTGGAGGGTGGTGCAGAGAGGGAAATCTAAGGGGCTGGTGAACTGTGTCAATGAGCAGCCCAATATAGTGATATAATATATACTAAAATCATAGTTTCCTATGTTCTGATATATTTCTCAGATGTCAATGCAGAGACTTCTAAATTCTAGCAAAAGATTAATTCTGCAACCACCCTCCTCCCATCTCCTAGCTGGAAATTCCTACCATTTCAAATCCAGATCACATAGTAAGAGTATCTGAAGTGTGAAGAAAGTAAAAGAAATAGGATGATTATTCCTAGGTACAGATGTACCTAAGCAATCAAATTTACAAACTAATTAAAATGAAAAGAATATGAGATTGGTTTAAATTATTCTGAAAAGAAGCATCTATACTTCATTACTAGTGGAAAACGTATGTCTTGGATAAACTTATAAAAGCAATATAATGACCTATGTTCAGGAGTAGTCTGGTTCAAGTACAACCGATTGGAAAACAGTATAATTACAAGCAAAATTATCTAGGACTTTACAACATTCAATCTCCCTTTTTTCTGATGCCCTATAGTTATCATCTATATCAATCATCTGGATATGGTGATCTAGGAAAACTATATAGTTGTTTATATTTTTATTTTAACTGATTTATTTACATCTATTGCTTTCTCATGCCCCTGGAAACTATAAGTTCCTTGACAGCAAGAGGCAGCCTGCAAACACATACTTTTGATGGTCTCCCAGGGTTGTCTACAATGGAGGGGCTTCTCAGGACTCAGAATTTGCAAAGCTAAGACCAGGAATGTCCCAGGAAAACAGAGATAGTTGGTCACTTTACTGGCGACAATGACATGACTTCGCAGACAGAAGGCATTTAATAAATGACTTTAACTGGACTCTTTCATACTTGTAAATAACAAAGAGATGAGAAAATGAAATGAAAATCCTAGTTTCTCATGGTAGAAATCCACTGCTGAACCTTTGACTCTTTTTTTCCCTTTGTATTTCCTTAAGTTTCTATTGCCATAGATTTAGTGATCAGAAAAGAGATAAAATAGAGAAATAAATAAAAAAGAAGGCACGCAAGGGATCAGAAATAAGAAAATCAATGACGGTGCCACTGTAAGGAGGAGATAAAAAGAGGGGGCATGAATAGACTGCCAATGAAGAGCAGCTGTGAGATACAGGAAAATGCTCCTTCAGGGCACAAGTAGTCCTTTCTTTCTCAGATAATTTATATTAAAAACAGCAAAAAATAAAAAAGAGAAGTTTCAATCTGATAGAAACTTAGAACAAGAACACATAGTCTTCTCTCTCACAATCCTTGAAAGATATTTTAGCACATCTAAAAATAAATTAACCCATTTAATGGAAAGAAGATTCCAGAAATTGCTTACAAAATAACACTAGATGCTCTCTCCCCATGCTGCATGGGAAAGAGAACAAATTACCCCATGACCCTACCTTCTATTTGGCTCCCTTCTGAAAGACTCTGGATTCTTTGTGATCAACAAACACACCTAGATCCTCAACTTTTCTGAACATTCCCTGCAACTCTCAGTGGTTTCCAACTATAGCTGCATTAGAATTACCAGAGGCACTTTTAGAAAATACTGACTCTTAGGCCCCACCTCAGGCCAATAAAACAGAATCTGGGGGGTGAAGCCCAAGCACTGGTAGTTTTTAAATTACTCCCTGAGTGATTCTATGTGCATCCAGATTAAAAATCAGAGTCACCTGTAAACTGGCTGGTCCCCACTGTACTCCTCTGAAATGGAGGCTGTTTGTAGCCTCCCACACCATATGTAATTTAAGATTCGTGTCCTTATTTGTCCTAACACTATTTCCAGGCCATTCCCTCTTCTCCCTAGGAAAAATCCTGTCTCCTTTGAGACTCACCCATTGTGTATACCAGCTTCTTACCCCCCCTTCCTCCATGAGATCATTTACTATCTTCCCAGAAACTTCTGAATCCAGGGTTCAATATATGACTCATAAGACTTCCTCTCCACTCAAACTCCTGCCTTAATTTTTGGTCCCTTCAAAACTAGCACAGAAAACCGAGTCAATACCTTCAACTTCCTTATGCAATGACCTTGCCCCTCCACCTCAGTCATCTACTCCCTTAGTCCTTACTGGGACTCCTTCAGTTATACGCTGGACCTTTTCATCATAGAAACACCACCACTTCATAAATCTCTAATTCAAATATCCCATTCTGATCTGTTATTCCTTCTACCTTACTTGCTCACATGACAACCTCTCCAGCCCATTGATCCCTCCTCTTTCTCAGCATCCACTCACTCACTCCCTTCTGCTTTCACTTCCCTTTATACCAAACAGATGCCATCATTATGCTCTGTTCCAAAAGCTCAGAACTTCCTTTCCATTCTGTTCTTCCAGAGCACTTAGCTGGCAAACATCCAATCCTCAGAAATCCAACTAATTGCTTTCTCTTTACTTACACCTGAGCAACTAGAGAGTGTAACACACACACACATTATAAATTGATTGCTAACCTCAACTGGGCACTCTATGATAGGAAGCAATCTAAGTTTTCATAGTCAACTAGTGTCCTACTACTATTAGAACAACTATTTCACATCTTTTCATTTATCCTCAATCTTTGCATCCCCTCTTCTCAAGCACTCTTATTCCAAGCTGAATGCTTTACTTCACACTTCAGGGAAAATGAAAGCCATCACATGGAAACTTACCTGTATTTGTACTCATTTTTTCCTTTCCCTCCAGATATAAAGAAAAGGCCACATTTTCTTTTAATTACAGCCCCTATTAAAGGCCATCTTTTCTTTGAATTACAACCCCTCTGATTCTCACAGGAATCTTACACTCATTCCTAGACACCTCCCCTGAATATTTTTAACCTGTCCCTTTCATAGGCTACTTCCCATCATCATTAAATTAAACCACGTTTTAAATCCCTCGTTTTAAAAGCAAAAAAAAACCTTCCTGGACCCCCTATTTGCTCCAACTCTAGTCCGTATCTATATTCCCCTCCACAGTCAAACTCCTTCAAAAAGCCAAAGTCGCAACTTGCTCATCTCCCATTTCTCTCTTAATTTAACTCCAATATGACTTTGGCTCCAACCACCTCTATGAAGTTGACTTTTTAAAGTCACCAATAACCTCCATATTGCTAAATCCAATGGGTACACTTCAGTTATCTCATTTGACCTATTAGCAGATATCAACAGTTGACCATTCCTTGAAATGATCTCTTCCAAAGGCATGACAGCATATTTATCTAGTTTCTCTCCCTCCCTCCCTCCAACTTCCCTCCCTCCCTCTCGTCACTAATTTTCAGAGCCTTTTGAGGCATCTCCTTTTCTGTCTAACCTTTAAAAAGTAGAGTTCCTTAGAGTTCAATCCTAAACCTTTTTCTCACTCTATAACAGCACTGTCATTGGACTTACTGTGATGATGGGCATGTTCTATAACTGCACTGTCCAATATGGTAACCGATGATCACATGTGGCTAATGAGCACTTGAAATGTGACTAGTGCAACCGAGGTACTGAATTTCTAATTTTATTTTTAATTAATTTAAACAGGCACATATATCTAGTGGCTACTATACAGTATCTGATAGCACAGCTCTATATGCAATCACATTATCTCTCTGGTTTCAAATATTATCTATGTACTAGAAACCCAGGTCTGAGCTTTGGAGACATATATGTATATTTATACTAACAAACCCAGGGTCCACCTCCTGCAACATGCTGTGTGCCTTAAAGTTTATGTATGAAGTCCAAGGATCAAGATAAAATTTGGTTTCAGTGCATATTACTAAATGGGCAAAAATAACAAGAATTTTATTCAAATGGTTACTTGAACTCTGGAGAGAGTAACACGTGGCTAATTTCTATGTAGGAGAGGCCAACAAAACTAATGCCACAAACTAGGTGTTTATAAGAGAAAAGGCACACTTCAGTTTAATTTTTCAGCTTTGGATGAAATACCTATTTCCACACTAAGAACAGAATATTTCAGTCTCTTCTTTCAGCAGCAATGTCAGCCACTGCTGAACTACCTTTACTCAAACTTTTTAGAGTTCTTTTTGCCTTCTTTCTAAGCACAAGAAAACATAGATTGTAAGTTATTCGCTCTCTTGGATACCTGCAGTAGAAGTCAGGAGCTGAGTTTACTTAACCTTTAGAAATTAGCCTTTAAGACTTCCAAAGAAAATAATAATAAAACCTAAACCAGAAAAGCTCACCCAAACTGTTAAATGCAAATTAATGGTGCCAAGGACAGGGACTATGTGTCTAAACAAAAGTGACAAAAGTGTATACAATCCACAACTCCAAGATAAGAGTTCAGTCCCACTCATCCAAGGACTCAACCAAGAGATAAGGCAACCGGTTTGATTCAGATTCCTGTGGTCACATACTCTTTCCCACAACAATCAAACAGTGCCCATTTTCTCCTCCCCATAAAACAGTACAATTAGATAAGCAAAGAACAGCTTGCACAGAAAGTCAATGATTTGCTTCAAACAAATACAAATGAAATAATGAAAACAGTGAGAAGATGATGTTCTCTCTAATAAAGGGATGCCTTGAGGGGATGGGGCTAAAATAAAAGCCCAAAATTATTTTAAGGAAAAAAAGGTATGCCTGGTAAGAGGGACTCTATAGCCTCCCAAAAGAATATAACAAGTAAAGGTAAACATTATGATTTAACATATAAAAATAATAAATGGATAAAAAAAAGTTTAAAGCATAACAGCAGTTAAAAAACAACCAATGCCCTGGCCAGTTTGGAGTACTGTCCTATACACCAAAAGGTGGTGGGTTTGCCTGACTGGTATGGCTCAGTGGTTGAGTGTCAGCCCATGAACCAGGAGGTCACCATTTGATTCCTGGTCAGGGCACATGCCCGGGGTTGCCTGCTCGATCCCCAGTAGGGTGTGTGCAGGAGGCAGCCGATTGATGTTTCTCTCTTCCATGTTTCTATCTCTCTATCTCTTTCCCTTTCGAAAATCAATAAAAATATATTTTTAAAAAAGGTGGTGGGTTCAGTTCCCAGTCACAGCACATACTTAGGTTGTGGGTTCAATCCCCAGTAGGGGCATGTATGAGAGGCAACCGATCGATATTTTTCTCTCACATCGATGTTTCTCCCTCCCCCTCTCTCTAAAAATCAATAAACATATCCTTCGGTGAGGATAAAAAACAAACTCATAAACCTTCTGTGCTTTAAACATTTTCTGGCCCTTCCTATAATTATCAATTCCATAGCAAAGATTTAACTGATAGCAATAATACTGGTAGCTCAAAGAAGTTCAGCATTAGAAACACGATCATATTTTCAACTTTTAGAGATTCTTGCCAGCCACCTGCTTTTTATTACGCTTACCTAAGAAATTCTAATTTGTATGACTGCCTGAAGAAAATGGAGAATATAGGATAAGATGGTAAGATAAAAAATGTGGCAAAAAGGTGTCTTAAATATAGTGGGTATTCAAGTAGTTGTTTGTTCAATGAAAATTAGTTCCATTCAGAAAGATACTCACTGTTTGAAGCTATATCAATCAAAAGATTTTCTTCTGCTTCTGAGGGGAAAAAAGAATAGGATCAGGGAAGATAAACCAGTCATTACAACCAAAAGAAGTATATGCCTAACTAAAAAAACTGCTTCTCTCAATCACCACTTCTAGGTCCTAGAACACATATTTTTTAAAAACCCTTTGCTTTTTTGTTTAGCATTAAAAAGTGGGATTTTAATAGTACTAGATGCTAAAGATTATGAGCAATTCAACTAAAAGAAAAATGAATTGAACAAGTAACCAAATGGAACGCCTCAAAGCAAATCAAGGGAATCTAACATGTTAATTCAAGTGAAGATGAGTTTAAATCCCCCCAACTATAACATACAAATTTCATATAATCAGCAAAATTTAGATATTTTTTATAAAAAGCCAAGGAAGTGACCCCAAAAGCCCAGAGGTTAATTACTTTTTACACTCAGATCTAGTCTCTGAAAATTTCCCAGTGATCCCATTACCTCCGCCCCTGCCCCATTGAGGAACAAAGAATACCCAAAGTTCTTTATCTTCAGGCTACAACTAGTACCCATGGGTCCAAGGCCTCCCACGCTCAAAAAGGAAGTATAAATTGGGGCAAAGTATAGTCTCCATGTTCAGAGTTCTCTTTTCTCTCCATGGCTCTCCTAGAATTCCTTATTTACCTTTAGTGTCTCTAGACCCAACCCATCTCTTCCTCTGACTTCCCTGGATTTGGCCTACGGCACCTGCCAGATCTTCCTGGTTATCTGCACTCCGGGTACTGACTCCGTGGGATTAGCCTGGATCGACTGTGGCCAAATGGAGTGGTCTCGGCCTTTTCTAGTTCCTTCACAAGCCAGGACTGTATATTTGGCTCCATTATTCAGGTACAACAGAAGCAACTGGTAAGGAACTAAACTGTCTAATATTAGGAAATACTTAATATTCTCACTAGCATGATGAAGCAAGGGTCACAGGACATAGCTGTTTATATGTTTGTCCTTGTTCTTCAGTAACTAATTCTTTAAAACCCAGTATTTATAGACTTTTCAAAACAGGGCACAGGTCAGGAAACAGAAAATATGAAAACTCGAAGTAACTTCCTTTTGTTATGGGGAACTACTGTGTGTGTGCACACATATTTTCCTAGATTTCAATCTAACACTGCTGTATTTCTTATTAAAAACAATACTAAGAGGGTAAAAGAGACTCTAGAAGTAGTACAAAAAGGTATAGAGTTAATAGTATACTAATCTAAAGCCATCTTTGGCTTTTCTCCTTAAAGGTCTGGGTATGCAACAAAGGGTGCTACACCATGAAAAGTGAAGTGACTATAGCAACTTGTGTGGTATGCAGGTGCCTTGTTCAATGTCTCTCTCACACAGGGCAAGCTGAATGGTTATGACTTCAATCTTCTCTACAATGTGGATACCATTCATTGCAGGTATTTTTCATTCTTAATACATGCTTCCTTAAAAAGTCTTATCCACTTAGTATTTCTACTTGCAAGAACAAATCCTAAGGAAATAAAAGATGTGCAGAAAGATTTATGTACAGGGATACTTATCCTACTACTATTTATAGTAGCAGAAAATAACCCAAATGTCAAACACAGGGAAATAATTACATTATGGGCCATTCATAAAATGGAATAGTATACAGCTATCAATGGCAAGGGAGAGCACTCATAACATGATGGCATGCAGAACGAACAAAAAACTACATATAGTTTGAGTTCCACCAACTCTAAAAGTTACATGTGTAGAAAAAGGTGAAAATGTTAGGTGTTTATCTCTGAAGGATGAGAATTTGCTTTGCTTTATACATTTCTATTCTTTCAAAAATTTTATTAAATACTTTTGGGGCAAAAAAAAGTTCAATGTAGTTTAAGAAAGAATCCATGCAAGGTAGAATTCAAGTTTTCCAAGAAGCTACAGCTTAAACAGAATGCTTCTGTCAGATGAAGCCAAGGGACCCAGTGGAAACATAACGAGTTTGTTCTCTAGTAATCAGTTTCCTTTCCAGAGCAATGTGAGATGACACAAGCAACACCTCCTACACAAACCTCCCAATTTTTTGCTGCTCATTGTAGCAGATGAAACAACACATGTTCTGTTCTCTGTCCCTAAATTTGAGGGCAGGAAGCCAAATATATCCTCCCCAGAGCTGATTTTCTTATGATTCACCAATGTCAAGGTAAATTGCCAAATGTTTTAATTTCAAATGGTGAGGGGATAAAGTGCTGAATGTGTGTGAATCCCAGCAACCTTGATACTTTACAATGAGCAGTTTGTCAGTTAAACCCAAGAATGTCACTTAAATCTACATGAGTCTGTCAGCATAAAAGACTACCTACATAGGTAACAGACTACATTTTTTAAATTTTTTTATTTTTTTAAATTTCTTTATTAAGTTATTACATGTGTCCTTATCCCCACATTACCCCCCATCTCCCCCCCATGCCCTCCCCCCATTGTTGAACAGACTACATTTTTAACCCCCAGCCTGGGAAGCGTGTGAATATGTATATGTATATGTATATGTATATATATTCAATATAACCCTTCAGCTCTCTTAGACAAAGCATTTATCATCTTCTCAATGGTAGATTCATGCATAGTAGTATGTTTCATTTTACATACAGTGATAAATTTAAATATGTATGGTATTAAACAAGGCAATAATGACCATGGAAAAACATTATAAAACTAGCTAAGCAATTAAAGCTAGTACCTTGAACACATCTAAAGTGGCTATTTATAGGAATGATATCTTGAACATGCTGTTCCTTCCCGTGCAACTGGATTATTAACCTAGGAAACAGAAGAATGTATCAACGAATAGCTACTGAAAAATCCAAACATTTAACAACAAAATACAGTGCTGTGCTGTTACACAAATCTAGACTGTATTGATTAGGCTAGCTGTATCTTGTTCCCTGGATCAGAGCATCATGACAGCTAGATATTGCTCAGGACTAAAAGGATTTAGTGGTGATCAATATCTCAATATCCACACTGTCCTACGCCATAAATAACATAGAATAGCCTATGTCCTAAAAACAGGTTACAATCTTAAGAGCATGAATTACAGCATGTATACCTTCAGCTTATGCATACCAGAGTGAAGAACTAATAGCAGCTAGGTGTGAACTCCCTAGGGGCAGGGACTGTAGCTTTCTACCAAAGTATTTCTAGCACCTAGCACAGTGTCTGGCACATAGCAATTGCTCAAGTTTGTTGAATGAATGTCTTAGAAATTTCATAAAATACCTCTATAATTATATCCCCATGGCTTTTACCAAAAAATGGTTCTATCTCTTCAAAGTATACAGGTTCATGGAGGACTAAGAGGAAGTGTCCAGCCAGCTGGATCACTCAAAATAACCCCAGTGGGCAACAAGGTAGCAGATATCACCAGACTGCCTTTATATCCCTTGTTTTTTTCTCTGGTTTCCAACTTCATGCTGGTAGTTCTACGTAAACATGACTAAAAAACTTGCCCCCCCCCCAGTATAAAATGTGTGAATTCTAAATTCCTATGCACACCTGAAATATTCATTTTCATTCACTACTTATCCACTGTGGCCCAGCATCAAGGTATAACCTACTGTTAAATGGCCATTCTGAACATATTCCTGCTTCCCCCAATGCTATCACTCTTCAGGTGGTTCTCTTTACCAGGAACATTCTTCTTCCCAAGAGCCACCTCAAAATCTAACCTTCTGTGTGAAACTCCCCGCCAATACCCCAAGCAGAGCCTGAGACTTCATCCCCTTTGTGTGGTCCTGTAATACAGCACTTTTATACTCCATTATAGTTATATTTACTTCCCAAACACGTGAACTCCTTGAAAGCAAAGACTCTATCATATTCACTGTCTCCTGCCTAATACATAAATATCGGTTGAATAAACAAACTAGATTAAACTATAAACAGAGATGAATGTCTAAATATAACTGTTCAACATCTGACATTAAAAATGTCATTGTTTTGAAGGGTTTGATTTCTATTTTGTTATCATTTGGGGAGATAACCTGGAGAAAGAAGTTGCTTAGACAGAACTAAGGGAAATAAACTAAGGAAAAGAATACTGCTTGCCTGCTCTGACCTTAATTTGCAGTGGTTTGTATTTTAAGGTGACTAGGGGAATGTGGGACCCTTTCAACGTGCAAAGTTCATGAGTTGAGCAGAGAGTCCTATAAACCCAGATGGAGACCAGAAACTAGATAAAGGCTGAGAAAGCAAGGGTCAAGGAGGAAAATGAACACATACCAATATAATCTCAAAGTAACTAAACTAGAAACCGTGTTAAACATTAGCAGTAAAGCTTCAACTGGAATGTATTCCTAAAAATGATCACAAAACAGGCAACACGGATGGATCTTGAATGCATTATGCTAAGTTAAATAAATCAGACAGAGCAAGCAAATATTGTATGATCTCAACAAAACACAACAAGAAACAAACCCAGACATACAGAGAACAGATTGGTGGTCTTTAGAAGTAGGGGGTAGGAGGTGGGCAAAATGTGTGAAGGTGGTAAAAAGGAACACAGATTCAGTTATGGGGCTGTATGTTACATTCCCATAATTTACTTTACAAAACTGTAACTACGTGTGGTGATCATCTCTCAACATATACAAATATTGAATCTTTACACTGTACACCTGAAATGCAACCCCCACAAAAGCCCATCAGAAAACAAAGATAATCTGAGAATTTAATTCAATTCCACAAGCATTTAATGAATATCTACATGTTAGTCACTAAATAAATTGTGGCAAGAAAGTAGGGCTAAGAATAATCACAAAAATGCTACTTAACCATTCCTTTTAGAACAGAAAGGAACATGACAAAACAATGGAAATCAGAATTTGGTAGTTGTCAAGCAGTAAAGAGTAACAAATTGCAAATGTGGATTCAGCATTATCCCTAGGAAATACTATGATTTGTTCAAGGAAGGTTCAAGATGAAACAACAGTTTGTATCATAATCTATTTTCCTTGAAAAAAATAAATGTTAGTGCTTGATTTCATTTCCAAAAATCTTATTTTTAACTGTAATGTTAGTCTCTCATGTAAATTTCTCCACAGTCAATAGCAGCAACTACAGAACTAAATATTAAGATAGGCTTCAAGTTCTAGGACAAAAAGGCCTAAAGTAAAAAAGTTCTGGACACCCAATTCAGAGAAGGACCCCAAGAGATAAGAATTTGAGGATTATAGATGGTATGATAGTATTGGGTGTCTCTAATAAATGATCTCTAAATAAACTTCAGACAATGTAATTCTGAGATATGTTATATGGGTGTAAATCTCGGCTATGTTACATCCTAACTGTGAACAAGTGACTTAATTTCTCGGCGCCTCAATTTCTCTCTGTATAAAGGGTGGATGATGAAAAGTGCTTAGAAGAGGACCTGGCACAAATCAAGCCATTAAATGTTAGCTGTTGCTATACCCCCATAATCTATGCAGATATGGAACACAAGAATTTGATTTTATGTGGGAAAGACACAAACAGTCAGGACAGCTATCACTGCAAGTTTAAAAGTTCTAGTACAAGTTCAGATAGAGTGAGACATTTATCTCAAGGCCAGCTGCTCACTCCCTTTTAGCTAAATCCTGGGCTGTGATGATCTCAACAATGCAGCTATTTTATGTAATCCTCATAATTTTTTTTTTGTCCATGAGAAAACCAAGGCACAAAAAAATTACTGATTTGTCCAAGGGTCACATTTTTCCACCCTTTTCTAGCGTCACACAATGTAATTCTGAGAAGTGGAAGTGGTGGTCTACTTTTCAATTCACATTTATGTTAAACTGATTTTTATTAAATTGGTCTTGCAGGGTTTGATGAAACCGGGGAAAAGAATACAAGCTTCCTACATCAACAGATCTGACCAAGAAGGCCCTCGGGAAGAGCTACTTCATAGAACCAGTTGATGTCCAGATAGGGTGGCACTAAGAGTCTCAGAAAACGGGCAGGATAAGCCAGCGGGAATGTCTTCTGTATAATTAGATACAGACTGAGTCTGGACAACCTAAAAGCAGGGACTGAGAAAAATTGTTTTTTAGGCAGAATCCAATGTTGGGCAATGGCAGGATTTAAGTGATCAGCAATTTTTAAACTCTAATGTCAAGAAACCTGTGAATAACCAAGAGAAGTGGCTTGAGCACACAGGGATAGTTAGGGACCTATGAAATGTAATGGTCACCAGAGATACTTGTAAGATGAGGCATTAGTGGCAATGGAGTGAAACCAACAGCTATAGTGATAGCTTATCAAAATAATCATTTGATCCATCAGTCAACAGTATTTACCGAGCTCCTACATGCATGGCAGAGTAGAAGGTAACAGATAAAATGCCAAATGTCATTTCTATTTCTGCACATTTCATTACTTTTTCTAACAGTTAAGTCAATAAATGAGGCACTTACTGGGCTACATTAAACCATTACTGAATTAATGAATATGCGTTCTAGCCAGTGGACTAAGCGGTGGGGAGACTGGAGGAACCAGTTGAATGGGGTTAAGAAAAGGCACTTCTGTCAAGATTAACAATGAAGTGATTCTACAGCACTTTTACTTTTTGTAAACCACTCTCACATTTATTATTCTTTCAGTTCCAACTCCAAAGGCTATAAGGTAAGCAATTAATGTTTTTATTTAACTTATGACAGCATTGAGGCCTCGACACCTTTATTGACTTGCCCGAGGTTACACAACTCAGGTCAGTTGCAGGGGCGGGAACTAAGAACCCAGGCTTCCTGCTTCCCTGCCCATTGAGTCGTTCCACTGAGCCACACTTCCAGGAGCCATCCTGCGGCTTGAGAGTTGGCGACAAGGCCCCGCGGTTAGAGCACTCGCAGTTCACACCTGGCCCTGAACCTGTTGCCCACGCGGCATCAGGGGGAAGGTGGTTGGCTCCTCTGTTTGGGGCTGGGAGGGAATGGCAGGCTACCCTGTGGGAATCAGCTGTTACTTACTCATATTGCCCGTTCCTCTGGGCTAGGGTCAGGGTGCAGGGCTCCTGGACAGGACCCTTGATCTCCACACCCTCCACAGTATGTGGGCTTTAGTCAAGGGTTAGCACTAAAACGCGGCCAGTGAGGGGTAGCCAGTTGCGGGACGGAGGGAGGCTGCCGCCCCTCGGCCCGCCCACCCCCAAACCGGAGGCTCGGCCTCCTGCGCCGGCCCCCTCCCCCGGCGAGACTCGGCCTCAGGGCCTAACGGCTCCCGCTCCTGCTCCCGCCCCAGCCGCGTTCCTCAGTCCCTCCGACCCCCACCCTCGCCCGGAGCGGCCTCCCCTCCTCCTTCCCTCAGGCGGATACTGCAAGGGGCTGGGCTCCGACTGGAAGCGGCGCCTCCATCCGGGCGGCCTCCGGACTCGGCCGGGCTGCGGACTGCGGGCGGATCCGACGACACTGCCTCTCGCGTTCTCCTACACGCGCGCGTCCGTTGCGTGTAGGTTAGGGGAAGCTCCACGCCGCGAGCCGAGAGCTGGAGCCGGGAGCCGAGAGCCGGACCGAGAGAGAGCGTCGCCTCGCGTCCCCGCCAGTTTTCCCAGGCCGCCACGGAGTCCGCCCCCTGCGGCCAACCCTGCGGAACTGCAGCGAGAGACCCGACGGACTGGGCGTCTCCGACACGTCCAGCATGGAATACGTTTTAAATGCTGCCCTTGACACCAGAATTGTTCTGGCGACTTTGAAGATCGCCACAGAAATAAAACATAGTCATATCTGTGAGGGAACTCAAAGGAGATGGGCCAACAGGACCCACATCATCCATTCAAAATGTCCTTATTACCGTTGCAATGCACGGTCCTGGGTATCCTATCTCTGTTGTTCCTTCCTCCTCTTCCTCTTATTCCTTCCACCCACTATATCAGAAAAATCCCCAAAGCTCAGATCTTTGAACCCTTTCCAGGTCACCTCTATGCAGGCAACAACCAAGTTGCCTGGCCCTGACCCCTTACCTAATATACCCCATTGTTACCACAACACTGAATAACAAAACTAACGCATCATAATTTCACACAGCCACCCAGGCTTGAAACATCAAAGCCATATGCTTTCTTCATCTTTCCTCATTTCTCTGTACCCAATCAGTCAACAAACCTTGTTAATATTTCCTTTGGAATTATGTTTTCTCTCTATTTGCACCACCATCACTTTATTGTAAGCCATTGTGATAGATCTCTCCTTTGACCATTTTACTCTGTTGAGTCATAAGAATATTACTCCCAGTGGAATGCTTCAGCTGTTATTCATTTGCTCAAGAATCTACAATGGACTATATGTCTTATTTTAAACTGATTTTTAACCTAGAGTAATTTAGACAGTGTGTTATAGAAGTAAATAGACCAGTGGAACAGAATACAGAGCCCCGATACAGATCACACATATATGGAAGTTGATATGCAGCATGTGACATTTGAAATGAGTGGGGGGAAAATGGGTTATCTACTAAATGGTGCTAGGACTATAGATCATCACATGGAAAATTATAAAATTATATCCCTACCTCACAGCACAGAGGGGAAAAAGCAATTCTAGGTAGATTAAAGATGTAAATGTGAAAAGCAGATCTTTAAAACTTTAAGAAGAAAATAGGAGACCATCTTTCGGACCTTAGAATAGGGAATGAGAATAATTACTTAATATACTAAAAAGATAAACAATAAGGGAATTGATTAGAACACTTAACTATATTACACTTCAAAATGTATGCACTCCAAGACAACATAAACAGTTAAAAGACAAGTCATGGACTAGGACAGTGATGGCGAACCTTTTGAGCTCAGCTTGTCAGCATTTTGAAAAACCCTAACTTAACTCTGGTGCCGTGTCACATATAGAAATTTTTTGATATTTGCAACCATAGTAAAACAAAGACTTATATATTTTTTATTGATTTTTTACAGAGAAGAAGGGAGAGAGATAGTTAGAAACATCGATGAGAGAGAAACATCGGTCAGCTGCCTCCTGCACACCCCCTACAGGGGACGTGCCTGCAACCAAGGTACATGCCCTTGACTGGAATTGAACCTGGGACCTTTCAGTCCGCAGGTCGATGCTCTATCCACTGAGCCAAACCCGTCAGGGCAAGACTTATATTTTTGATATTTATTTTATATATTTAAATGCCATTTAACAAAGAAAAATCAACCAAAAAAAATGAGTTCGCGTGTCACCTCTGACACACGTGTCATAGGTTCACCATCACTGGACTAGGAGAAATTTTATATATATATATATATATATATATATATATATATATATATATATGACAAAGTGAGGTTCTACATTTCCAGCTGTTACCACCTTTCTGACTTCCTCTTCCACCATTCTTCCCAATTCACTCAGCTTAGACACACTGCTCCTTGCTATTCCTAGGACTTGACAGGCACACTCTTGCCTTAGGGCCTTTGCACTTGCTGTTTACCTTGCCTGCACTTGCACTTCCTTCAGGTCTTTTCTAAAACGGCACTTTCTCAATGAGGCCTTTCTAGACAACTTTATTTAAAATTGCACTTCAACAATCTCCTTTTCCAATCCCATACTCTCTTCCTTGTTTATTTTTCTCCAGAGGATTTATCACTATCCATTAGTCTATTTTACTTATTAATTTTGTTTATTGTGTCCTTTCCCCTACTAGGATGTTAGTTCCATGAGGGCAGGCATTTTTTTAAAATATGTATTTTTATTGATTTTTTAGAGAGAGAGGAAGGGAGAGGGATAGAGAGAAATGTCAATTAGAGCAACATCAGCCCTAACCGTTTTTGGCTTAGTGGATAGAGCATTGGCCTGCAGAGTGAAGGGTCCCAGGTTTGATTCCGGTCAAGGGCATGTACCTTGGTTGAGGACACATCCCCAATAGGGGGTGTGCAGGAGGCATCTGATTGATGTTTCTCTCTCATCAATGTTTCTAACTCTCTATTACTCTCTGTAAAAAATCAATAAAATATATTTTTTTTAAAAGAAGAGAGAGAAACATCACTGGTCAGCTGCTTCCTGCATGCGCAATACTGGGGATCGAGGCCACAACCCAGGCATGTACCCAGACGGGGAATCTAACCAGTGACTTCTTGGTTCCCGGGTCAATGTTCAACCATTGAGCAACACCAGCCAGGCAAGAGGGCAGACATTTTTGTCAGTTTTATTCATTGCTTCATTCCCAGTGCCTAGAACTATTCTTACAACAAAGTAGATGCTAGAAAAATATTGATTAAATGAATGAATGAACTAGTAGCTAGAATATAAAAGATCCTCTATAAATCAGTGAGCAAAAAAGAAAATTAGTAGAAAAATTGACAAACTATATAAGAACTTCATAGTCAAGGAAACCCAAATGGCCAATAAAGACACGAAAGGATGTTTCACTTAATTACTCTTTAGGAAAATTGAAAATTAGAACCATGAGATAGCTTTTCACGACCATTTGTTTGGCAAAAATTAAAATTCAGATGACGCCAAGTGTTGTTGAGGATGTAGAACAGATAGAACTCTGATCACTGTGAGAAGGAGTATAAGTTGGTAGAACTGCTATGAAAAGGAATTTGACATAATACAATAAAATTGTATATGTAATATACTTCAACCTAGAAATTCCATTTCCAGCTACAGAACTGGGCAAAATTCTGCACTTTGTGCACAAGGAGGGCATGTAAAAGAATGTTCATTGCAGAATTCTTTGCAATCTCAGGAAAAAAAATGGAAGCAAATTAAATGTCCATCAGCAGGTGAATGGATAAATAAAGCATAGTATTTATGAAGTTGGTTGTTATTTTTAAATTAAAATGAATAACTCAAACTATATGTATTAACAGAGTTAGATATCATAAAATACAATGTTGAACATAAAGAGAATACTGCAAAACATGTACAGTATACCATTTCTATAAAGTCTGCAAATATTTTACGTTGTTTATGGCCACATAGATATAATAGTAAAAGTCTATAAAACATGAAAGGGCAGGCCAGGGCCGGATTGCTCAGTTAGAGCAGAAAGTTGTCCTGATACTTTCAGGTTTGATCTCCGGTCAGGGCACATACAAGAATCAACCAATGAATGAGTAAAATAAGTAAAACAACAAATCTCTCTCTTTCTCTCTCTCTCTCTCTCTCTCTCTCTCTCTCTCTCTCTCTCTCCACTCTCCTCCTCCTCCTCCTCCTCCTCCTCTTCTTCTTCTCTCTCTCAACAAATAAAAATGAACAACAAAAAAAAGAAGTTGTGAAGAAATGGAGGTGAGGACACTAAAACTTCTGGTTTCTCAAAGAAGAGATGATGCTTTTCTCAAAAAATGTAATAAGTGGATATTGTAATAACAAAAATAATCCCTAATCCAGGTGGCTAACATTGAATATTCACGTGACAGACATTCCTCATGGCTTTGCATACATACTTTTAAAAATTTAATTATCATTAAATCTCTGTAAAGAAATAATATTGTTTCTATTTTAAAGATGAGAAAACTGAGACTCAGAGAGGTTTAGCAACTTGCTCATTAACTAGTAATTGGCAGAATCACGAATCAAACTGACCTTTGTCTAAATCCAAAGCCAGAGCTTTTAATATATATATAAATTGATTTCAGAGAGGAAGGAAGAGGGAGAAAGAGATAGAAGCATCAAGGATGAGAGAGAATCATTGATCAGCTGCCTCCTGCATGCCCCACACTGGGGACTGAGCCTGCAACCCGGGCATGTGCCCTGACACTCAACCACTGAGCCACACCAGCCATGCAAAGCCAGAGCTTTTTAACCAAGATAGTTTGCCATTCATTCAATATTAATAGTAAAAACAGTATTTATTTGGAACCTTCGATGTGCAAGGTACTATGGTACCTGCTCTACCTGAATTATCACATTTAATCTGTTGAAATTAAAGTTGAGAGTAGAGGAGGGTTTGAGAACTTAAATAAGGCAGAGAAGGAGGGAAGGCACTGTTGGAGAGTGATAGTGAATGCAGAAAGGTTAATAAAGGGTTTTAGAACAACAGAGAGAGCCCCATTGGAAGCAGATGGCACGACTTTCAATAGTGATCCAAATGAGCATGCATCTATAACTTTCTTTGGCAATGCCTGGCACATGGAAAGCAAGAGTAAGAAAATATACCAAGACGGTACATTAGGCTTGGGAATTAGTATAGCAGGCACAGCAGAAGGTCACGGGGTGAGGGAGTCTAAAGTGGTGCTTAGGATTGAAATAGCTGGCTCTATAGTCAAACTTAGGTGAAGATATGCATCCCCTCAGACTAGGGCCAGCCGAGGGAACAAAGGCAACCTTGATGAATTTAATCATTTCCTTAGGCTTGATCCTGTGGTAAATTGTTATAACTCCTTTGGGGGGATCCTTTCGGGGACTGTATGTGCTTCTGTATGTAAAGCCATTTTTGTAAGTTGAGTGAAATCATTTTTTTAAAAATATATTTTATTGATTTTTTTTACAGAGAGGAAGGGAGAGAGATAGAGAGTCAGAAACATCGATGAGAGAGAAACATCGATCAGCTGCCTCCTGCACATCCCCCACTGGGGATGTGCCCGCAACCCAGGTACATGC